TTAGGCTGTTGAACATAAGTTCTAGACTCGTTATGAATACCAAAACTTGAAAAAACACATAGAAAGTTCAGCTATGACAGCATTTTAGAAGATTCTGGGACGTCAGGCATACGCTGGCTAAATCAGCATGGTCTGACAGGGCCCTAAGCCAGAACCTGTCCAGGACTGTCGGAAATTATGAGTTATGAGTTGTAATACAAGAACACCATACCTACTGCAAAGCATGGTGTGGAAACATTATGCACCGGGGACAGGACAACTGGTCCATGTTGAGAGGAAAGGACTGGGCCATGTATGGTGAACTTTTCAGACAAAACCTCCAAAATAAAATGCTCCTGTAAGAGCATTGAACATGACACATGGCTGTGTCTTCTAGGATGACCCAAAGTATATATATATATATATATATATATATATAGAGAGAGAGAGAGAGAGAGAGAGAGAGAGAGAGAGAGAGAGAGAGAGAGAGAGAGAGAGAGATACATTTATACAACATGCCATTTGCCCACTGCTGCTTTGTGCTGTTTCACAAATTCATAGGAGACTCACATGCTCCTCTGAAAAGTCATGGCTAGATTGGGTTTCACTGACTCGCTCCCAGGCAGGCCTGCTGTCTGACCTTGCGAACAAAATGACACTGATCCTACAAACTGAAGCAGGCTAAAGGATCAAAAAGGGAAATACAATATTAAGGCATTCAAAAACAGAAGTCAAACAAAGTAATTAAAAGCTGTTTATTAAGGGTTATCAAATAATTTCCACATAGGGAAAATGCTGTGGGGAACCTTTTTTAAAACCATCTACTCATCCAAGAGGTTTTAAATGAAAACCATCCGAACCTGCTTCTGTTAATACCAATAAGTCAATGATTCAACAATAAAAGTGGGGGAAAATGCAATCCATAGGAGAGCTTCAAGGCCAAAAACACCTAGAAAATCCTATCTTATGAATTTGAGGAAATATTCTGTAGACTGAAGGGTAACTTCATATAAATCCTTTAAAATCTGATATAAATCAGTGGTATTATAATGGGTGAAATGTTGCCTCAGTACCAGGGTTACAATGTAATTTTTGGAACTATGAAAACAACTTATAGTTCAGGAAAGGAAAGAAATAACTAAAGCATAGAGAAACATTTTGACGCAGCAAAGATCATGTTGGAGAATCTATTGAATTAACTATTTCAACCTGGAGAGACTCACACAAAGAAAGGCTGCAATTGGAACAGTTTTATTCAATGAGAATAAAACTCACTCAAAAAGCTCCTAGATTGGTCAATTTTTTTGTATGGAAAATCAGCTGTGCAATTCCTCATATCGAGCATGCATGTAGCAAAAGTGGAGAGGAAAACTTCCTTTTAACAGGAAGAAACCTCCAGCAGAACCTGGTTCAGGGTGAGCAAGGGGTTCAAGGAAATAGAAGAATATGTCGACATAAATTCATAAGTTCTTTGGGGCTGGGGCCCCGGCAGAAGACTTTGATGCTGTGAATCAACATTCCCTTGGAAAGATTAAAGTAATCTTCCCCCGGGGCCTGGACACTGGTGGTGGAATAAACCATAGGATGAGTGGGACTGAGAATAGTCTAAGATTGAGGGAGGAGATGAGTCGGTATAAGTTTGCCTTTAAATGGCTGAATCCAGACGAGGGACAACGCTGGTGGTTCAGGTAAAGCTGATAAAAATCTTCCAGATTAAATTTTCTCTTCAGCCTCACAAGTCTCACATTCCACAGAGATGGCCATGGCAGAATGGCAACAACAAAGCCATTCCAGAAAAAAAATCTGCAGTAGACTTGTTCAAAGTTTGCAACATGCCATGTCAGGGGTGCACTACTAACATGTTGAAAAATATGCTTTCATTAGATGTAGAAAAAAAAAAGTTTTTTATTTTGCCAAAGTTTAAAATGCTACCTATGCTGGAATACACTATCCCAACAGTGAAACAAAGTGGTGGCAGTGTCATGCTGTAGGATGTCTACACCAAATTTACCAGGGGGCAGTGTTTCATCATAGGGATACAGAGCGAAAGAAAGAAGCAACAAAGAAACATGGCTCTAGTTCATTGTTTAATGTATTAAGGGAGCCAAAAAGTTCCTTACTGCATTTTTTTGGGCCACTGATCTAGCAGATAAAAACTGTGATTCTATCTCAATATGGCAAATTACCTCTGTTTTTATATAATTGTTGAATTAAAAAAATTAAAGTTATAATTTGAATTGATGCAAGGGACCAATCAGTGATGGTTTCTGAGCCATGAGATAACATCATAAGAAGCTAAATTTTAAATTGTCCTTATTACAGGAGCCAGAACAGGGGCTGCGGGACCGGTTCTGTAGGAGCACCTGTCTACAACCGCTCATGTGCTGTTGGGAGGTTTTGAGCAGCAAAGGTGTTCATACTTAATGAGATCCTTAAATAAGCTAAAGAAAAGTCAATCCTGGAACAAAATCAACCAGGGCCTACAGTCTGTTTGAATTGGAAATGTAAATCACCTTTTAAAAGGACATAGACTTTGAATATAAAGTCACCATTACAATGGGAGATTTAGATCAAAGCATAATTTAAGTACTCAAATACAGCAAAAATCTCCTACAAGGCATTTCACTCAGTCAATCTGCATCCATCCACACTCCAAAGGTGAAGGGAAATTTGTTTCAGAGGCTAAAGTATAAATGCAAACCACACAGACTTTTTAATTTTTAAAACTTGGTTCTTGTCTCTCTGTAAAAATGTCACACTGAATGTCAAAAAGATGGAGCAGCCTCAGCCTCTGCTCTTAAGCTGGACCAAGTGACTCCCACCTTAAGGTGGAGCCGCATCAATAAAGCTGCAGGCCCTGGTATCAGGTTGGACCATAAAATCACACGGTGACCAACTGTCAGAGGATCCTCCTAGAGTCTGTAAAACAAACGCCACCAAGTCGACCTACAGGTAGAATATTTTTTTCAGACCATGCTTTCTCTCCCACAGCTTTAACTCATTTGTAGCGTCTGAAAACTTATAACAGTTTGCTTTTTATGGATTTCTGCTCACCCATTAGCCTCATCCTTCAAGACATGCTGGACCTGAAGTTCCACAGTCTGAATATATCTGCAACGTTTTGCTCGCAGATTCTTCACAACAGACCGTGGTTGGTGGGGATGAGGAAATTAACTTCTGGCCTACAGTTTTTTTCTAAGCCTTTTCTCAGTCTCAACAAAATGTTATTATATTTTCATGATGACAATAAAGATCATTGACTCTTGAATAAAGATGTCCCTCTGTTACTCCAGACTATGTAATGATAATTTACAAACTAAGATTTACTTTGTTCTCTCTTTCACACTTTCTACACTTTGGACAATTAAGGATCACAGTCCTTCTGCTCCTAAGAGGTATTGTGGATAATTTTCAAAAAAATGTTAAAAGACCTGCCCATCCATCCATCCATCCATCCATCCATCCATCCATCCATCCATCCATCCATCCATCCATCCATCTTCTTCCACTTATCCGGGGTCGGGTCGTGGGGGTAGCAGCTTCAGTAGGGAGGCCCAGACGTCCCTCTCCCCAGCCACTTGGGCCAGCTCCTTCAGGGGAATCCCAAGGCGCTCCCAGGCCAGCTGAGAAACATAGTCCCACCAGCATGTCCTGGGTCTCCTTCTGGGTCTCCTCCCGGTGGAACGTGCCTGGAACACCTCACCAGGGAGGCGTCGAGGGAAACATCCTAACCAGATGTCTGAGCCACCTCAACTGGCTCCTCTTGATGTGGAGGAGGAGCGGCTCTACTCTGACTCCTCCCCAGATGACTGAGCTCCTCACCCTATCTTTAAGGAAGAGCCCAGACACACTACAGAGAAAACTCATTTCAGCCGCTTGTATCCGGGACCTCATTCTTTGGGTCATGACCCAAGCAGAACCCTGTACCTGCTCACGAGAGGGAACACGTATTAAACACAGCATTCCGGGGTATATCTGCCTCTTTGAGGCCTCTCTTTTCTTCTCATCACCTTAATAGTCACTTTTCCTCTAACGACTCTCGGCCATTTTCAAAGAATCGCTTTGAGAAAGGTGAGCTTCAATGACTGCCTGAAACCGTAGCTCACCACAGATAAACGCCTGAAACTGCACATGCACAGAAAAAGACAGCTAACTGGGGTAAGCACGTAGGACGGCCTTGAATAAACACCGTAATGATTGACAATTAGGAGGACCACTTATTGAGATGATCCACCCAGAAATAAAAGATTGTCCTCTATACCTTTCTTTAAATATAATCACACTTATTAGTGGCTCAACACAAACATGGTAATGGTTGGATCCTGTGTCTTGAATATCACTGAGTGCAAGTGGCTCTTGAGGTTCCTTAATCCAGCTGCACTCCAGGCTTTGGGAATCTCAGCAAATCCTCTTAATGCTGGAGCCAATCTCTCAAACTGAATCATAGCCAATCCTCCTACTGCTCTCACATTTTGCTTGTGCACCTGTTTTCCATACCACTTTTTTTCCTTTCACTGAACTTTCCAATCAGGGTGTTTGAACACAGGGCTGTGTGTAAAAGAATTAAAACTCAGAGTTCATAGAAGATTTAAAGACTGTTTGTGCATATGTCTAGTTTCTGCCTTGAAGCTAGAATAACCAACAACAGCTTTTGTAAGTATTTATAAATATCAGTTAGGCCGTTGAAATTTTTGTTTTTCCAAATGTCATTTCACATTATTGTATATAATTTAGCTTCTTAGATTATTATTTTTGGTCTACTTAGTTTGTTACCAACACCTGGTGATAATTTCAGAAGTAGAAATATGTTTAGTAAGTAAAAAGAGGGTTCAATACTTAATCTACTCGGTGTGTACATGTATACATATACGAAAGGGTGTAGATGTGATATCATATAATGTTTGGTTCCTTCTTGTTTACTGCTTCACTGTTTGAACTCATCCTTGCAGGTAAAAGGTCAGCAGCTTGTAGCTCCGCCCCCTTTCTACGTCACTCTCCGCTCCCTTTGAATGGGCTCCTCTGCAGTAGGCTACAGAGCAGCAGAGGAAACAGACGCGCACAAGTGAGGAGCTCACTGTCACAGTGATCCAAACAGAACCGAACCAGAACAACTGGACATAGAATCGGCTCCCAGACAGGAGGAAAAGCTATTTTAAACTTTGAAGTTTATTTATTTATTTATTTGGTTTTATTTATATTTCTGCTGACTTATGAAACCCAGGATGTAGTTGTTGTTATTTCCTGATTTCATTTTTAACGTGCAGTAGAAGACTGAATTGTCACTTCTAACAAAAGTGTGAAGAAGAAAGAAAGAAAGCAGCTGGGGAGAAATGGAGAAATCAAACGGCTTTTCTTCAGATCGAAACATCCTGTGTCTGTTTGACGTGGACGGAACACTGACAGCACCCAGAGAAGTAAGCTCCCATCCAACCAGCAGCCAATTGTTGGTGTTTATTTATCATTAGAAGCTTTTCTTCTGCAGCCTCTCTGCCTGCATCCTCTGCCTCCCACTCTAGAGCACACTGTGTCCTCATGGCATCACAGTCTGCAGGGCGCCTTGAGCTCTTTGCGCATGAGCCAGAAACAAGCGATTCAAACTGCATGCACACTTTATGCATCTCTTATGGGTGTTTTATTTATTTATGTTATGTCGTTTCAAATTGCAAATATTGCCTCTGCAGAGATTATATGCATTTGAAATAGGTTGTCTAGGGTAATTCGTGTCAGCACAGTTCACAGCTAAAAAAATACACCCTAAAAGTCTTTACAGTCATGTTATCACTGTGTAATTACACTTTAGAGGCTGGGATGCTGCTTATTTTTCAGCACTGTGCGCCCTGAGGCGTGTCTTCCTCTGCGAAAAGGAACATCTACTATCAGATAACAGGTGTTGGAATGCAAAATAACTCAGAGTTTATCATCCTGCAGAAAATCGACCCAAAGCTGGATGAGTTCTTCCAGACTTTAAGGAGGAAAGTGAAGATCGGCATCGTTGGAGGGTCAGACTACCCCAAGATAGCAGAGCAGCTGGGAGAGGGAGACGATGGTGAGAAAGACTTCCTGTTTTGCACGTATTTTTCAATGCTTCACAGAGTTTAGCCTACCTAAGACACGTGGTGCAACTTTGGGCAAAAATTAAGAAACTGAGAACCTTTAGGGATAGAAATAATGTGTAACAGAATTTGAAATATGGAAAACAACATATATGGATGATTCTTATGAAAGTATTTGTATCTCCCAGGCAAAAGTAAGAAAAACAAAAATAATCATTGTTTTTATTCATACTGCACAACAAATATGAGGGATACGTTACTATTTATATTATATAAAATATGGTTTTATATTGCTATACGTCCTTTATCCCTTGGTCAGTGTTTTGGAATCTCAGCTCCTCATAAGACTGAATTCCATTTGATTGAACAGTAACTTTATTGACAAAACAAAACAGAAATTCCTAATTTTAATGAAAAGTATCATAACTTTTAAAGATATAATAGTATTTATCAATTTTTCATGAGAAAGAACACCTGTCCCTGGGGACCATGTCATTTCAACCACAAACTGTAACTTTTATTTATTTTTAACCTTTGTGTACTTGCAATCACTTCATTTTTTCACATGACAGGAGAGTTTATAACAGCATTGCTCCATGGAAGGAAGGGAAAAAAGGTCAAGTTTTTCATAACCCTGAAGTTTATTGGTCGTTATTTTTAAACACTTCATGTTTTCTTTTAAATATACAAATTATGACAGAAAAAAACATGTTATAATGTGTATTTTCAGTATATTTTATTTCTCTAAAATAGAGATTACAATTTGTCATGAGATTTTAAAAGAAATGCTTAATACTTCATTTCCACAACACTCATTTCCATCATTGTATAATATAATATTCATGAAATGTTATTACATACACTGCCAGTTAATGTTTCCACACATATTTTGATTAAGTGAAACAAATCAAAATATTTTCTGAAAAATATCTTGACCAAATTTGACTGTAGTTGGAGAATCACCCACTGTAGTTTCATTCTTTTTTTTAAATTTGATTATTTCTTCAATTATCCGAAGCAGTTTCAATGACCTAGAATTCAGATGGTGATACTAACCAATTAAGGCTGATTAACTTTTCATCTCTTCATACAAGACAACATAAAAAGCTGATCAATGTGGAAAATTATGTAAGTCCCTAAAACACAAAGCAGATAAGGAGCCTAATCTATCTCAGTTTGTCTTTTTTATAGCGCCAGGCATGAAGGCTGTAAAGCAGCTAGGTTTTGGTGCTTCTGGTGTTGCTGTGCATCTTTTCAGCTCCCATCACTATCCTCTGCAGAACCACATTGAGCAGCTTCCATTTTGACATACAAGACCCCTTCAGCCCCATTTCTACAGAAAGAGTCTCATATTTTTCACTGTATATTTTAGAATGACCTTTCAAGCAGCTTTTATCCTAAATCCAACCATCCATCTGATCCCACATGCTTCAGTCGGAATTTCTTACCCGTCATGTGACTCCTAAAGCTGTTGCCAAAACACACTGAGCGTCACGCTGATACATCCACCACCTCTCAGGGAACACATAGCTGCTCTGGAAGGCCGATAGCTTGTCTATCAGTAAATATTAGCCCACAGCTGCAATGTAGATGCGTCGTGCCAAGTCATACCACCATGCGGTTTCACGTCCAAGTGTGTTAAAGGTCAAGCTTTTTCTGGTGTCTCAGCTGCGGCCGATGTTATCATTGTGAGTTGACCCAAAGAGAAACCTGGGTGATGTATTTAGATCCGCGTTGGAATTTCTTAAAGCTAACGCCATTGATGCAAGAGTCCATCTTCCTCACATTATGGCACACCTGTAATTTTTTATTTCTGTGTGCACATGTTGTCAATTTAACTTTTAGAATGCAGCCAAACCAGTTTAACAGCCAGAACCATGTGATTGTAATGCAAACAATAACAGGGTTTGGGTTTGTTCTGCTAAAGTAGGTCAGGCTGTACCTGGGCATCCAGTTGCCTCAATGGAAACATTTGTCCAAAGCCTTAAAAAGCTGTAGCAAACAAGGAAGGACAAAGAGAGAAAAATGAACCTACCTTCCTGCTAAAGAGTGATGTCTGTAATTTTATCTCAACTTTCTAATGACCCAGTATTGAGAATGCTGAGGTCATGTCCCTGGTATTTTCCTTTTTTATTTTTTTTTGTCAAACTATATGTTGAAAATTGTTCTGACTTTGATTGGTGTAAAGATCAGCATTTATTTTCATTTGTTTAAAAAAAAAATAAAGTCAATATATTATTGAAAGTCATTTAAATCATTGAGTGGGCCATGCACATGCATGGTGATGATGGTGACAATAATAACTGTAGTAATAATAATTCAATACTAATAACAACAACAATAATAATACTAACATTCACTCATACCCACTCACTTACTCACTCAAATACTCTAATTTTGTGAGTTTTGGAATTGTTATAATAAACATGTTAATATTCACCTCCTTGATGGGCTTGTGATTAAACTCTCTTTATTCACATTTCCAAAATATATTTTAGAAAGTCACAATATTAGGATGTTTTAAGATTTATTGCAATATTTGACCTCGGTATTTCAAAAATCCTGGTTACTGCACTGACTACAATAGTCCAGATATCAGTTTTATGCTGTTTATCTAAGCTGCCCCTTCCTTGTGACTTCAAATGAAAAAAATTACATAAACATAAATTTATTTATTTTTTACCTCTCTGCTTGAAGCCTATATAAATACACGTCTTGCTTTATATTTAACCAGCACTTTTTACCCAGTCTTTCATTTTAAGTTGAACAGATTAAGTAAGGTTTTCAATTGAACTAAACCGTTGATAAATGAGATTAAAGTGAGAAGAAAGATCAAATTAATCAAATCTACTCTCTGCCTGCCAGTTTTGCATGCAGCATAATCTGCAACCAGTATAACAACAATGGAGGCCACTATTTCATTTCCCCATTCTTTTGATTCTCAGTAAAAAAATGTTTGTTTGAATCAAGTTATGGAGATGTGGGTGTTTTTTTCTCTTTCAGTGATTCACAAGTTTGATTATGTGTTTGCTGAGAATGGAACAGTTCAATACAAAGATGGTCAACTCCTCTCAAAGCATGTAAGTCAATGCATACCTGCTGTGCTTGGTTAGTGTGACCTTTTTAACACATGCTGACCCTCTAAAAGCTAAAACTAAAGCAAACATTTTCTGATGTTAATTAACTTTTATTGAAAACATATTTACTCTCTAGGCAGAAAGATGACGTTTATATCATTCTTTATAATCTCATTTATAAAATCAGATTGGTTCTTAAGTGCATTTTTGCTCCGGCAGGCGATCCAGAACCATCTTGGAGAGGAGCTGCTGCAGGATCTGATTAACTTTTGCCTCCGATACATGGGGCTCATTAAACTGCCAAAGAAAAGGTGCGTCACTAGGATAATTCATACAAACATTTGCAATAACTTTAACCTGCTTTCTCTGTGTAATAATTGGTTTATAACAGATGACTGATCAAGATCAAAATAAAAGTTCTTCACATTATGAGAGAAAATGCAGGTTTCAGGATATCATTTAATCACATTTTTCATCCTGCAGGGGGACTTTTATCGAGTTCAGGAATGGAATGATTAACATTTCACCCATCGGTCGCAGCTGCACGCCGGAGGAGAGAATAGAGTTTTCTGAAATCGACAAGGTGGATCATTTTAATTTAAAATAGACCTATTTGTACTTTGACCTTTGTACCTGAGATCGTCATTACCACAAAGTTACAAAAAAAACTCTTTTTCCAGAGTGATTTAATCTGAAGGCAGATAAGGACGAACAAAGCCTGCTGCTGCATGTCGCTACTCGTCGTGGCTGAGCAAACATTTTTACTGAGGGGGGCGAAAAGGCCTCTCTGTCTCTGGTCTTTCCAAAACGTGATCACGTTAAACAGACAAAGAAAGCTCAAACATTGATCTGGAAAAAAACAGTCTAACAGATAATGTTTGACATGGTAAAATTAAGGAAGTGAAGCTCTGCAGAGGAGGAGTTTAATGTTCAGCTACGTGATCACATTTATATACATGAATCTTCTTCTATTTACAGAGAGAGGAACACGTTATGACTAATCAGGTTAACTAGCAAAGGGCCAGTAGAATGATTGTCTATAAAGAGCCTCCTGGAGAGGCCGAGTCCCTCTGGTGGTGCTCTAATAAAAACAGAAACAAGGACTCAGGAACACTTGTGAAAATCATTGTCAGAGAACGTAGCTGATTAATGTCTCCACAAAAAGTTAAACCTTTACTAAGCAAAAAAAATAAACCGGTTACAAAACAGTTAAAATAGATTACATTCTCTACAAAATGCCATAAAAGTAAGCTTGAAATCATTCTAGTATTCTAAATTAAACTGAATCAAACATATTTGACTCTTAAACACTAAAAAACTGCTGAATACTTTAGTGATTAAACATGATTCTTCTTGTTTGGAGCCTTCAGATTTTCTCTTTGAGGTTGTAAAATACTCTATTAATGTTTGTCATCTATTGAAGCATATTTAGTTACTGTTACACAATTGTTTCATGTAAACTTGGTAGGAAATGAAACTAATGTGTTAACGTAACTAAATATGCTTAAGTAGATGAAAAAACCAATGAAGTAACGCTCAAATGTTCCCTGCAGAAACAGCGGCTTATAAAATAATGAATAAATTGTCCTCTGCTTTGTGGAGAAATGCATCAGCACAGCATGATGCTGCCATCACCATGTTTTACATAAGAGATATTGTATCCATTGGTTAATTTGAACTATCTTAGATGTTTAACAAAGTTTTATTATATTTTTTTAACCAGAGCACCAATTTACACATCTTTTATCTGTCCCCTACATAGATTATGATCATCTTTAAATAGGTCATTTTTTCGAGCAAGCTGTTGTTGTTGTTTGGCTCAGATTGCATAAATCCAGCCTTTAAAAGCTAAAAGCTTTGCCTCTCGTTTCTCACAGAGGGAGAAGATCCGGGAGAAATTTGTTGCTGCCCTGAAAAAGGAGTTTGCTGGGAAGGGGCTGCGTTTCACTAAAGGTGAGAGAAGACAACGTAGAGAGGCCTGTTCACACTTTGCTTCACATCCGAGTCTGCTTCCATGCAATAATGGAGGACATAAGAAAAACAGAAGCAGTTAGAACATCTTGTTTGTTTAGGTGGACACTCTGAGGGAGAAAAACAAGCTCATTAGCATTTTACAGCACTGTGCCCATCCAGTTTTACAGCTTTTCTATCCGCTTGTTGATTCTTATCTCTTGATAAAAGCAGAGACCCCACCACCAGCAACACCACCACCTTTGGTTCGTACTAGACCTTTGTGCTGGACCTGCAGGTTAACTATTAGACACACTGTTCTTTCGTGCCTCTTTGACGGCACGGCAGCAGGAGGTACTTGATGTTTGCTTACGTGCCGCACCGCTCTGCTGATGACGTGCGCAGGGCTTTTCACACTTCTCACAAACAAGTCAAGCCCCGTTCATTTCCTCGAAAGCCTCCCCATAAAATGTGTGGATTTCATGCTCACTTGGGCTTCACACAGGGGTGTAAATCAGCAGGTAGTGTTGCGGCCTTTTGCTGCAGCCTGAATCTTTACAGTGTTGACTCTAACGCGGTGAAAGCGGGTTTGATGGGAAGAGAGCGTTTATATGTTTACCTTCTCTTAAAGTTTATCTTTGGAAGGCACGGCTGCCCTCGTCAGCTGATAGGAGTGTTCTGTGTAATAGGTGTTATGTAATCTGACGCTGCATTGAGAGGACTAATTCTCCTGTCCAAGCATCCGGTGTTAAATGATGCTGTTGTATGAAAGTTTAGACTTAGATTCAACCATAGTTTGGAGTTTTTATGAGTAAAAACAAAGCAGGTTTAGAGGGTTAAAGAATTGCTGAGTTGTTTATCTTTTCGATCTGAAGGTGTTTGTGAAAGAGGCATGAGGAGGGTGTGTGAGGACTGAGCCTCCTGATTGGCCGGTTCTTTGAGGCAAGATGGAGAAAGTCATTTCAGCTGGAGAGAAAAATGCCTGCTAAAGCCTGTGGGTAGATTACTGTTTCATTTCGTTCATATTTCACAGAACAAAGGTTCATCTGAGTTAAAGCTCAGGAGAGGGATTGTTTCAGGATCTGAGGAATCTTAAAACTATGCATGATTTATGATAATAGGTAGTCTTAGGTCAAAGAAAAAAAAACAAAAAACACCCCAGGCTTAAATTAGCTTTTTTTCATACTTCACATTACAATTTTCTCTCAGGCAGTATGTTCTCATGCTGTTGCCGTTTAAAAGTTCAGGTTTTTTTTTCTTATTTCTGCTGAATAAAAGGGATATGCATTTACATTTATTTTGTTCATTAACTCAAGGATATTTGTTAGATTCTGTTTCTTTAAACCACGCTGAATGAGAAACAATAAAAATAGTTAAATTAAGAAGTAGAAGCACCTACTTAAAACCAGAGGTGTCAAGTAACAAAGTACAAATACTTTGTTACTTTACTTAAGTCCACTTTTAAGGCATCTATACTTTACTCCATTACTTATTTTTCTTCCTACTTCTGACATCTACTTCTACTAATGTTACTCGTTACTCTTGGCTTCGGTTTAATGTTTATAAATATTTATAGTTAATAGTTTTTCGAAATAGTGGAAAAACTGGCTGTTTTTTTTAAAAGGTTACTTTATAGTTTTATACTTCTAGTAGTTTTTGGAGCACATACTTTCTCACTTTTACTTGAGTAAAGAGGTCAAGTTGATACTTTAACTTTTACCAGAGTGTTTTTAAACTGCAATATCTATACTTCTACTTAAGTAACAAATATGTGTACTTTTAACACTACCACTTTAAACATAGGAATAGAATACTTTTTTTATTATAAATATACACTTGTTTAAGCATATACACACATATACACATGTAGTCACAGAGACATACACACACACACACACACACACACACATATATATATATATATATATATATATATATATATATATATATATATATATATATATATATATATATATATATATATATATATATATATATATATATATATATGGGAGTCATTCCATAGAAATGGCACATTTTGAGTCCCTCTCACCTCTTAAGGGGTATTTCATCTATTGGATCACTAAACTTTATATTTCAACAGCTTCACATTTAGACTGAAATATACCATTTAATACAGTATGAAAAAAATATTTAAAATTCTATCTTTTTTATGAGAAATTATGCAGTTTTTTCATTTGACCCCCCCTATTTTGTCATGTCCCTGATGGCAATGATGAAAGTTTCCTATGAAAATACCTAATTAAGCTATTTAAAAAGTCAATACATTTTTACATCAATGTAAACATCTTTTTGTGTTCTTTAGTTGTTGATGTTTCTTTTTTTCTAAATTAATCATTAAATATTAATTTAAAATGACATTACTTCTGTCCCTGAGCAACCGCTCAACCCCGTTATACAAATGATCTCACCCCCATAAAAAGAATGGTATGATCCACAGCTGCATATACATCAGGACGTGACATCACTGAAATCTTTTGAACAACTGGACCACAGAGACAGGCAAGTTGCTCCCCTATTTTCCTCTAATTTGGTCATTTATCTTGTGATACTATGGTCGTCAAACTAAATGACTCAACACCGTAACATTAAAGAATGATTAAAAAAACCTACTTCTTACAAAAAAAATTTTTATTTCAAAAATATATGCAAATTCTGAATTTCATGCATGCCATGTGCTCTCTTTCTTGTATTCACTACATTGAGAAGAAGCCATTTTGTGCAAAAATCTCAACCCCGTCACACTCAACCCCGTTATGTGTTTGATTGTAACGGGGTTGTGATAGTGTGATGGGGTTGAGATTTTAATACTTTGGTTGTTAAGTTATTCAATTACTTAGATTGATTATTATTATATTCAATCAATATTTTTATACTGTTAGCATGCTGAATGTGATTTATGTTCCATGTTAAGCTGTGAGTAAGATGGCACCAACAACAGCAGCAGAAAGGCAGAGGAAATATCGGGAACGCCTTAAAGCTGATCCTGAAAGGAGGGAGAGATACCTGCAGAGTGAGCGTGAGAGATGGAGAAAGAATGTAGAGGTAGGGAAGAAGAAACCAATTGAAGAACTGAGTGAAAGAGAACAGGGTAAGAAAAGAAAAATGTGGAGAGCAGCTTACCACAGGAGCAAGGAGAGGAAAGACGTGGTCAAGAACTTGAGCACTCCACCACAGAGTCCAGATCAGGGAGATGACCCAGAGCAGCCTTCACAGCCTAGATCTTCAAGGTTAGGGCAATGGGTAGTTAACAGTGTTATAAATCTTTAATTTTCCCCAATATCATTTTAGAAACAGGGAGGGCAGGAGGAAAACGGCATAACTTTCCACACCCAGATCATCTTTTATTTTCTTGTTTTGTAGGCAACGGCTGGTGGCTAGGAAGAAGTACAGAAGAGAAAAAAATGAGCTCAAGAGGCAAATAGTGGAACTACAGAAAAAACTTGAAAAAGAAAGAAAAAGCAAAGAAAAATACAAAAAAAGGTGCCAACGTTCAAAGAAATATTCCGATTCACCACGGTCAAAGATAACACGACTCACTTCAAATTGCACTGTCAACCCCCAGATCAAAAAAACCTTACTTTACCATGAGTCACTCATTCAAAATATTAGGAATAAATACAAAAAAGCCACCAAGGACAGAGAAAAACAGCTGATTGCTAAAGTCACAACAGGGAGGATCATAAAAAAATACAGGTTGCAGAAATCTTCATTTTGAAAGAAAAGGGACCAGTAGGTTCACTGAAGACTTCAAAAAAAGAATCAAGGCATTCTATCTCAGGGATGATGTGAGTAGAATGACCACTGGAACCAAACAAACACTCACAAAAAACAAATTAAAAATGCAGAAGAGGTTCCTGATGGATACACTACAAAATATCCACAAAAGGTTTTTGGTAGAAAACCCAGACCAAATGATATCCTACTCCCTTTTCTGTCATCTTCGCCCCTTTTGGGTTGTGAATCCAACTCTCTCTGAACGTGATACATGCATGTGTAAGTTGCATGAAAATTTCAGCTTTCTGGCAGTTAAGCTCAAGCAGCTGAAAATTATTGAGACCAACAACATCGAGAAGTTGATAGAGAAAGTTTCCTGCAACTCATCCAGCAAGAGTTGCATGTATGGAGAGTGTGTCCAGTGCAAGGACAAAACTGTCCACTTCACAAGTGCATACAATAGCACTAATGCCTCTTTTACCCAGTGGGTAACAGAGGAGAAGGAGATAGATAAAAAAGGAGAAAAGGCACCTGTGAAGGTGACAGTCAAGAAATCTGTGGAGGGTACACAAGAGGACCTCATTGAGCTCTTCCACAGCTACATGAAGAGATTTAAAATGCATCACTTTAATATCAAGCAGCAGTAAACCTTCTGCCGTGAGTTGAGGAACAACATGTCAGGGGAAGAGGCTTTGCTACATGTTGACTTCTCAGAAAACTACAGCTGTAAATATAGTTCTCAAGTTCAGGCGGTCCACTTTGGAGCTTCACATCAACAGGCCACCCTTCATACGGGTGTGTTGTATGTTGGTGGACACCCAGAGCCTGTGTGCTTCAGCACCATCTCCCCCAGCAGGCATAAAGGCCCTCCAGCAATATGGCAGCATTTAAATCCTGTGCTGGATTACCTTCAAACCCAACATCCACATGTCTGTACTGCACTTTTTAAGTGATGGACCTTGTACCCAGTACAAACAACGAGGCAACTTCTACCTTTTCTCCACAGAACTTCACAAAAGAGGATTCAAGGCTGGTTCTTGGAATTTTTTTGAGGCTAGTCACGGAAAAGGAGCGCCAGATGGTGTTGGTGGGGCCTTAAAAAGAGCAGCTGACAAGATGGTGGCAAAGGGCCGTGACATCCCAGATGCAGAAGAGTTATTCAGAGCCTTGTCTGAAACAAACACAAGTGTCAAGCTGTTCTTTGTGAAAAGTGAAGATGTCGAAGAAGCAATGGAGAAACTGCCAAAGCAGATACCAGCTGTTCCTGCAACAATGAGAATTCATCAGGTCATTACTCTGGCTCCAGGAGAACTGATGGCTTGTGATGCAAGTTGCATGTGCACAACACGCAAGCAGTTTAACTGTGAGTGCTTCAACACCCAGTGTTTCAGTTTTGGACAGAAGATGGAAATGGCTGCGTCACAGCCAGCTGGTGGGGAAAATCCAGGAAAAGAAATCCAGTGGGAAAGTCCAGAGCTGATTGGTAAATGGTGTATACTCAGATATGATGATGATTTGTATCCAGGTATCATTCTAAACATCCAAGAGACGCATGTTCAGGTCAAATGCATGCATCGTATCGGATCAAACCGATTCTTCTGGCCACGTCAGGATGATATCCACTGGTATCTGTTTGATGAAGTCCTTGAACTTATTCCGCCCCCACAAAACGTGACAAAGCGCCATGTGGAAGTCTTGAAGGAGGTGTGGAACCGACTCATAAGATGAACTTAATGAAATAAAAGGCACATTCATGCATAAATACAGACACATACACTGATAAAGGTACACATGTGCAAAAACACTGACATGGACCCAAACTCAAGCACTGATACAGACAGACATATTAAAATCTTTCATTGTCTGATCATTATTGATCTTATTAAAAGTTCATGAAATTACAAGTTTAATTGTATGTTAGGATTAAGGAAGAAGTGATTCAGCACCCCTCTCTGGCTCTCTTATGCCTACACACACCCACAGACCCACCCACACTTAACATTATGTTACATTTGAGAAATTCACTTCATATTTTACTGTTGTTAATATGCTGTTTTGTTTTGTTCTTGTTGTTGTTGTTTTTGGGTTTATATTAAAGCTCAATTCAATAGCAATTTGTAGCTGGTGTCTTTGCTATGGTTACAAAATGAAATGCCAACAGAAAGTCCTAAACATTGAAATAAACAAAGAAAATCGTATTTGTCCCTTCAACCCTGTTACCATCTTCAACCCTGTTATGTTAGTCTCAACCCCGTCACACCTATATTTTCACATATTATTATTTTTTAAATGTTGATAAAATAATTTAATGTCTATTGACTTTTGTTTCAAATATAAAGAGCTATCATTTGAAGTTGATTTTGATTACAATTCTTGAGTTAAACTGAATTTCTGAACAAAAATGAGTGAGTGCTTTCACCAATTTGTCACATTTCAGGATATAAGAAAGCAATAAAGTGTTATTTTATGTAATTTTTCTTTTTTAAATGATTGAATTAGGATGGGGGACTTCTGATTAATGTAAAAATGTTTATTTCTTTCTAAATTCATTTTATTATAACATTCAGAAAGGCCTCAAAGTGTCCGTAACGGGGTTGAGGAATTAAGGTGAACACATCTTGAAGTAATGATCAATACTAAAAGAAAATTAATGCCTGAGATGGGAAAATATGTTTTTCGGATAGTTAAATATATCCCTAAATATGTGGGATATACATAGAAACAATACTTTTGGGTAAAAAAATTGAAAATGTCCAAGTCCAATTTTACCCATTCTCATGGAATGACTCATATATCCATCCATCCATTTTCTTTACACGCTTAATCCCAAGTGGGGTCGCGAGGGGTGCTGGTGCCTATCTCCAGCAGTCTATGGGCGAGAGGCGGGGTACATCCTGGAGAGGATGCCAGTCCATCACAAGGCAACACAGAGACAAACAGGACAAACAACCATTCCGGCAAACACTCACACCTAAGGAGAATTTAGAGAAGCCAATTAACCTAACATTCATGTTTTTGGACTGTGAGAGGAAGCCGGAGTACCCAGAGAGAACCCACGCATGCTCAGGGAGAACATGCAAACTCCATGCAGAAAGACCCTGGGCCAGGAATCGAACCCAGAACCTTTTGTCCAGGCCTATTTGATGATTTTTTTTTTTTTTTTATCATTTATTTAAAGCCTGGTTGAAAAGCAACTTCTATTTGTTTATTTCCATACAATTCCTATTTATGAATACTTTTGTCAGATTGAAGTTATTTCTGAAATCATTGCAGGTTGTTCTTTCATTAAATGAGGATCATCAACAATTTTATCCATTTATGTACATAAGCTGTTGTTTATACAAACTCATACTTTTATATCCTGATCTGAGTTTGCCAGATCAGTTTCCCCTAACTTTTCAGTTCTGAATATTTCTTGTGTGAAAAGGAGCCATCTGCCGTTAGACATTTTATGGAAATTCATATCCACCTTGATGAAACTTTAACTTGTCACAGAACTGTTGATTAAGAGTTATTTTTAACAATCTATTCAAAGCTTGGTTATATGAGTCTGTAACTATATTTACCTACAGCAAGTCACATAGAGTCACTTTGGTTTGATCAGAATGTCCTTATCTGTCCAACATCCTCATTCAAATAGACTAAGCCGAGAGTGAAACCACAACAATGCAAAAACGCTGAATAATGAATTGATTCAGGAATTATTTATGATCTATTTAAATTACCTGGGAGGTTTTTGATCTTAAAAAACCTACTTAAATAAACATGTAGCAATTTTAACACATAGGCCAAAATACATGTAGGAACAAGTTTTTTAAAATGAAACAAGGGTGCGAGCTGTCCTGAAGCCGATGACATCATGATGTAATAAAACTGGCTTCCTTTTAAAAGCTGTGATGATATTTGTCTCCTTTCAGGTGGACTTATCAGCTTTGATGTTTTCCCTGAGGGCTGGGACAAGCGGCTGTGCTTAAATCTGCTGGAAAATGAAGGCCTGGACGCCATCTACTTCTTTGGCAATGAGACCTCAGATGTAAGTTTGTTTTGCATCAGCAGATCGTGTCTCATGAGTTGTTTGTTTCATTCATCAGAGGTTACAGTAAGGAGTAATCTGTTGTCGCTTATCTTTATGATCCAAAATAAAAACAGACTTATGTGGTTCACCTGTGATCGAAACCTTCATTCCCTAGCTTGTTGTAATCAACAAAGAAGGATTAGTATCACCTCCACTTTTACCACTTTAGTATTTTGACAGATGGCAAATTAAATCTATCCAGAGGATAGCCTCAACCTTAAACATATCTCTGGTCAATTGCCATTAAACAGATGTCAAATAAAAGTTAGCTGTAAGATTACTATTTCTTCTTCAACTGGTGCTGGATATATTACTTTAGTGATGAAGGAATGGAGAAAAGAAACGCACAAAAAAGTATGGAATACATATCCATCTATCCATTTTCTACTGTTTATTCCATCAGGGTGGCGGTGGGGCCGGTGCCTATCTCCGGCAGTCTATGGCGGGGTACACCCTGGACTGGTCGCCAGTCTGTCGCAGGGCAACACAGAGACACACAATGTTTCTATGTACACTCAATTACCCTAATAGTCATGTTTTTGGACTGTGGGAGAAAACTGGAGTACCCAGAGAGAACCCGCACATGCTCAGAGAGAACATGCAAACTCCATGCAGAAAGAAAGGCCAGTAACCGAACCCGGAACCTTCTAACTGCAAGGCCAAGTGCTACCCACAGGTCCACCGTGCAGACCATGGAATGCATGTTTTAATGTATAACTAATTCATTTTTAATGTATGATTAATTACTTACCATTAATGGTAATGTCTAAAAGTAACCCTATGAATTAATTGAATAACTTGAGTTGTGATTGGATGACAAAATGGAGGTTCTAGACCAAATCTACCAAGGGGGCCAAGATGGGCCCAGTGAACAAATGAATGAACCAAAAACAAATAAGACAGGGTAAATGTTCATTGTTTGATATATTAAGCTAACTGAATTTTTAAACCATGAATAAAATAAAACTGTAAATGTAAGTATTGCTTCAAGTTACCTATTGGTTAAATTTCCTGTTACAGTGGATATCTTATTTTTTTAATCATTATGTCGTTGGTACAGGGGCCTCGACCAGTTCCAGAATTCCCCTGTTGGCCCCGGTCAAGAACTAATATAATATAAAACAGAGTAATAATAGAGACTATCGGGTTTCCAACCAACCCGATTGTCTAAAGAGCTCCTCACATGAGAGAAATGAGAGTAGGTGGAGACTAAGTCTGAAAAAGACACAATTTGAAGACAAGGGATCAAAGAAGTGCAACAGTGACCAAATGGACACATTCAGGCATTTAGAAACTGCCAACAAGTAAAATATAAAACTGAAGTTAACATTTGTGTTAACTTCAGTTTTGTTACTTGTGGTAACATTTGCTCTTACAAATACATTATTTGCAGTTTAATCGTGCAGTCATTATCAACAGCAGATAGATCGAATATAAAACCCCTGCTTAGAGTGAGAAAACTGACCTCCACTATTTGAATTATGTTACATGCATCCATGTCTCTGGCTTTTGTCTCTACCTCTGAGTGCCTGGTCTGTGATAGCCCTAGGAGTTGAGTAAACTATAGAGGCAGCTGTAGGGCTGAAGCCACATTCATTTCATACCACTGAAAGAATGTAGCGGTATTTGGGTTATTATGTCTCCTGAGGGGTTTCAAGCCTTAACTTGGATGGCTGCACTAAAAATCCTGAGTTGCAAAATCTGCTGTTAATATTTGAGTAAATGATAAAAAAGACTGAAGTATTTGTTACATTTTAACCGCTGGGCTTTTGCATAGAAAAGCTGAAGGAAAATGATACAAGATGTTCTAGATGTTTATACTGATAAAAACCTAGTACATATTGTGTTGCCCCGTGCAAAACTAAGGTGACGGCTTTTTTTTACACTGCAAAAAAATTAAAATCTAAATAAGCCATTTTTTGTTAAAATAATTGCGTTTTTTTTAATTGAGGAGTAGATTGAGACAATTTGCCAATGGAACAAGACAATTTATATTTAAAATAAGAAAAAAACAATTGCATTGTCTTATTTCAAGCGCACATTATCTAATTATCTTATTTTAAGAGTAAAAAAAGCTCATTCCACTGGCAAATCATCTTATTTACCTACTCAAATTAATAGTAAATACACTTGATTTAAGACATTTTTACTTATTTCTAGATCGTTTTTCCAGTGTATTCTTTTTTGTTGCTTTATCTAGATGAGTCACACACAATCAAGATGATATAAAATTAAGTTTATGGTTTAAATGTGACCGGATGAAAAGTGCAAGAAAAACGAATACGTGTTTAAAACAGTAAACTTCTGTTTGTCTTTAAGGTGGTATTATGAGAGGATGGACATTCTGACTCAGAGAATAAAAGCATCATCTGTTCTTGAATGTCCGATGTTAGGGTTGATTTTTATCACGAGAAGGAAAAGGAACCACATGAGGCCGTGGCTATCAGCTCTGCTCAGACGTTTATGATCTGTGCTTCTGTTTCCAGGGAGGAAACGACTATGAAATCTTCAACGACCCAAGGACGATTGGTTTCACGGTGTACTCTCCCGAACACACAGCCCGGCTCTGCCGAGAACTGTTCTTCGAGGCCTCCCCACGTCTCATCACGATACCTTCAACCAAAAACGCGTCTGAACTGGAGGGAAACATGAAGATTGACCGCAGGCTTTTAATGAACTGTTAAACTGTATCACTACTGATCTCCCCCTGTTTCATGTCTGAATGAACTGCTGAAGGATTGATTTTATTTAATGAGATGGACAGCCGACTTGGAAGTGTATATTATTGCTCTGTTAACCACTTTACCAGAAGCGATGTTTGACTACTGTGATAAGAAGCGTGTAAACCTTGAAATTAACCCCAAATCAACAGGAATGTTTTTTTCCAGCTTGCTTTGGGCATGAAGCGACATTTTGCACTAAAGTGGAGTTCCTTGTTTTCCTGGAAATTCTGTCAGTGCAATACGGAACAAGGATGGAAGACAGATTTAATCATGTGATGAGCTTGTGGAAAAAGGGACATCTCCACTTTTAAAGTTTGAAATACTCCAAAGGGACATTTACATTCCATTTACATTTAATTTTCAAACCGTATCTTTTTTTTTTTTAGGTTAACTTTTGAACCATCTGTTGTCTGATATTTGCATTAACCTTTTAAAAGCCCTGAAAATGATTGGAAATTCTTTTTTTGTGTGTTTGCTGAGGGTCTTTGAATTAATCTAAGGGAACATTTAGGAGATTTAAAGGGAAGGTTTGGTTTTTTTAAGAAGTCTGTTGGGTGGTTTGAAGGGTTTATATCTTACCTGATCTTGAAATGCAATGTTTATCTCGTAAAATGAAGCACCATGACCCAGATTTTTCTGAATAAGAGGTTATTCTATTACACAGGCTAACACGGTCTGAGTGGAAGTTTAACTTAGATAACCATTTAATGCTGAAGTTTGTCTGTGTTTAATGGAGCTTTAGCTGGAATTTACATTTTTTTTTATTTTAAGAGTAATATATAACAGGTAAGATTTTTCTGCTTTAAGCCTGTAACAGAACCCCAGCTTCAAAAGATCTGAACTTTTACCTTTTTAACTAGCATACCGTCCAAAAGGTCATAGGCCACTCCTTACGTCAATGTCTTGCATTTTTTTACATTTTTGGACTGAACTTTGTAGAACTCTTTTGTCTTGTTCATTAATTAAGACATTTGTTGGTTAAGAATTCCCAAAGAAGCCCAGCATGATGCAGATAATATAATTTTTGTACAATATATGACATTTTCAATACAATTAAACAACTGAAATAGATTGGAAGATAAAATCCAATCTGGCTTAAGACCATCTTAATAAATTAAACATTTTTTTTTAGAAATTTTGCACAGTTTTAGATGTTTAAATAATATGTCTATGTTTAATATAATGTCTGAGTGAAGGAATCCATCTCGATAAGTGAACTGAGTTCTAGTGTCAATATATCGACTTTTAAGAAAAAAAAATGTATCAATTATCACCTCCATGTTAGTATTTGATTGATAAAGTATCAAATTTTGCACAAAATAAATGTCAGTTATACAAAGTTTCCAAATTCTAAGAAACCAAATTTCTGAGCTTGAGAGCATTTTATGAAGTGCAGCTGTGTTTTTCCACTGTTTTAAGTGATTTTATCTGAATTAATCATAAGATTATTCTTGTTTTTTGTGAGGGAACATATAATCTGACCATACACACTCCTTCAAGCTGAGGGGCTACAGTCAACTTAAATGGAAAACTGACAGTTCTTGTAACGCATCTATGGAGGTCACTGTAAGATACTTCTTCTTGGTTTGTAATTCCAGTTGTGGAAAAAAAAATGGCAGACCTAATGTATTAAATCCTCTTTTTATTTCATCCTTGCGTCTGTTGGTGTTTATTTTAACCCTGTTGGGCTTTTAGGCTTTCTCTCTTCTGTTTACTTTAAGTGACCCAACCAACCTTGTCATTCTGCATCCAACCACTAGGTGTCCTCGTTTTCCCCAAGTTTACATTTATAAAAGGTTTGATTTTAGCTTCAGGTTTTCCTGTTGCTCTACTGCTCCTGTTTTGAGTTGTATCATATTTGCAGTGACTGAATCAAGTAAACAGTCTTGTTTACCTTGCTTGTCTATTTGCTGTTTTGTCACCGCCCCCCCAACAACCACAGGCTTTCTTCATCTGTTGTTTCCGCCCACTAAAGAGGCTTTAACAGCTTATAAATGTTAAAACAATATTATCCTCATCTGGGATAATTAATATCCACTAAATATTCCCACCATAGGCTGGTATTGGATTTAAATATTTACATACACTAATAGCTAAAGCGGACCACGTGAATTACAGACAACAATGAAGCACATTTAGGTCATAAAATTAGGCTTTAATGTTCTTTCAAGGCTTAGTTGAAGTGATAAAAGCATAATTTCAGGCATCAACATGTTTTTATGGAAAAGATCTGGCATAAAAGAAAAAGAAGTGCAGTATCACATTTAATCTGAATAACTGGAATGAGTAGAGTTTCCCTAAACACATGATATATGGTTTCAACTTCTACATTTCTTAAAATAGTCTTTAACACATACTTTTTTACTGATTTCCAAGGGAAAACCCAGCTGTGTTGCCTGATGTGATGTGGCAGGTCATGTAGTTTTCATAAGGAATATATAAAGAGTGTAATCTGAGGACAAATACAAGTTTAGACTCACAAAATCGAACAGAAATCTACTAAGACAGAACAATGGCGTGAAATCATTTCAGCGAAAATGTGTGTAGTTCCTGATTATTTTAGCTGGTCTCAGTTTTTCTATGGGAAATATGGCTTACCACCCATAGCGCCACTCTGTTAGGAGGCGGCCAGGGCATTTAGAAAAAAAAAGTTTTAGGGTTTTTTTTGCTGCATTTTTGGTTTTCAGATAATGTTGAATGTTGTTCCCTCTGTTGGGAACTGTAATAAAACATGTATCTGATTTACAGATTCCTATTCCTCAATAAATGATAAAGGACTATTTAGACATTTTTACTGTGAAAATCTCTGGTTTGAAAACTTAAATATTCAAACTGTTTTTATCTGAGCTGAATTAGTGTACACATTTTTTTCATTAAGTCTTACCTTTTCCCAATAATATAACTAATATCTTGCAACATTTTTTTTGTTAATCATCTTAAACCAAAGTCCAAATACAAATATATAAAACAAAGCTCTACGGTTTTATAAATGTTCTATACCTTTTAAAAGGAAGTCAGTGGCTAATCTCTAAAGCTGGGAAGTAGAGGAAAAAAATTCTCACAATTCCAAATATTTTTAAATTAAACTGTGACAATTTCTCTTTAAAGTACACAACAAAACTCCCTGAATCTGTTAGCTCATCTTTTTAACAATCTAAAACCTTTAAGCTTACTTGAACCACCCCATCATATAAGGAGATGTTAAATCTTCCTTTTTTTCCAGGGCTAGAACCTCTGATTATTGAAGACTTATATATTCATCACATTGTTTTGACTCTGCTGTTGTCTGAGTTTAATTTTAGCCTTTCCATGCTCAGACTAAGATAAGTTCCTGTGATGAACATTTGAAAGAAACATGTCACCTCGATGGAGAAGATGACAGGGAATCAGCTGCTAAGAGGGGAAGTAAAACTGACAACACGTTGTTTCCTCTTGCATAAAAACACACAGCAGTCTGCACCACATCAGATTTACTCTTCTTCTTTCCTTTTTGCTTTTTTTTTTTTTTTTTTTTTACACCATCTGTGGTGAAACCGACACAGAAAGCTTCTCCCACTTCAAGCTCTGATGCGTTTCTGGTCCCAGTTTAAATTCAGTAATAACAGACATAAATAACACAATAAAACTGCCTTTCTTTAGTATAATTCAGTGCCACTGCGGGAGCAGCTATCTGTAACTGTGACGTTAAGTACCTGCCAGCTCTTCATGAAATAAAGAGGAACATGTATGTCTAATTTTTTTTAAACAAAGCAAAGAGTCCAGGAGCACCGCTGCCATCGCCACCCATCCGACCCGGAGCAGATCTCAGTCCCTACGAGCTGATGATCTGTCCGGACCAGGTCTCATGTTTGGTCCCCGGGTTGAGGTGTATGATCTTCACCTCCACGGCCTGCACCTTAATGTTCTTAGGAGGCACTCGGCACACCTTGTATGTGACCTCGTCTCCCTCAACAGGGACGTACTCCCCTTCAATACTGGAACACAGACAAAAAGAAGCAGAGGAGTTTTTGTTTTCCTTTAAGAAGTATGTTCAGAGTGAAAAAACAAATCATACAACATTTGAAACTCTCACATTCACATGAAGGGCTGTTTTTTTTATACATATTTATTAAGGTGTATGCATGGTGCATTCAATTCATACAGGAAGTTTTGAATTGTTTAGATCCATCTAGCAAAATCAAACAGGTTGGTTCCTGAGATGCAAACTTTCTGGAAATTCAAAGGAGTTCAGATACAGTCCAACACTTATTCCTATAAAACATGCAAATGCTGCAAGAATAACAGGTGATTTTCACCTATAATTCAGTTTTTATATCTCTATAACCCAGTAGTAAAGTACAGTCTCTTCATATGGGTCTGTTCCTTTCCTGCTTAAATCCATAGAACAGAGAGGAGCTGTTGCTCTTGCTTGTGTTTCTGAAACTGTTTCCATTCCCAGAGCAAGTGTTTCCCACAGTGATGCTAAATTTGATTGTTTTTGTAGAGCTCCTAGTTGAATTTCTTGAAGGTTTGATGGAGCCAAATTACTCTGATCAAAATCCTTGATATTTGGAAGAGGATTAGGCGAACTATAAAAGAAGTCTCCTAATAAAGTAAGTCAGAATCCTAACTTTATTTCACATTTCTGTCTTTTTCCCACAGACTTCTGACTTTAATGGGCATCTAGGGGCCACTTACCCCTTAACACTAGATGTCCCAGAGATTTTCAGTTTTCCTGCAAGCCCCCCTCCCCTCTGCAAGTTTGTGTATTCACTCTGCCTTGCTAACTGTCCCTATTGTAATGCAAATAACCTGTGATATGACCAGCCCTTCTACATTAAGACTGGATAAAGGCTGAAACAAACTGGCATCAAGACCATGTTCCAAGCACTTTTCAGTACCTGCCCCTGCAACATCATACCTTTTTACAGGAATATATTTATATGTCATATCTAAATCTTTTATGTAGGCAAACCTATTGAACAACCAGATATCATAGCGGTCCTAGTTCCTGAGCTGAGAACAAGTCATAACCATGCTTTTCCAACAAGGCAAGGCAGAGCCTATTTCTATTGTCCATTCACCAACAGACTCATTTATATTGCAAAGCTCACTATATGAAAGAAAGAATAATTGTATTTTGTCTTGTCTCGCCTTTTTATGTCATTTAATCTTAGAGAATGACAAACAGTATGCCTTTAGTATTGGAGTAACATTTATGTCACAAAAGGAACAGCCGTAGTCTCTTCATCTCACAATGCTGTCTCATGTGTTCTTCCTTTATTGCCTTTTCTTGCATACAAATGTTACGAAGTTCATTTGCAAGTAGCAGAATTAAGTTTGGTGGACTCTCTTTGGTCCCTGTGCACGGCTTGTACAACACATGCTCGTCTGTTGCAGCCAAGCTTGTACGCCAAGCCAAGCTTGAAATCTCAATAACTCTGAGTCGATCTGCTGGGCCTATTTATTCTGGGAGCTAGACTTCCCACCCACAACCTTTACATTTCCACCTGCCGCCAGATTGGAATTTGAGCTGGAAACGGGTTTCCAGCACAAAACTGGCTTTCCGCTGGAAATCGTGAGCGGATGATGTTTGCTTGTTTGCCCTCTAGTAAATAGGGCCGATGGTCATTGTTGTATAAATATTCTTGTCAGCTGATGGAGATGTTTTCATTGTACAGATCAGTTGGGGGGACTGGAGCCCAATTCCCACCCCAAACAGCTCAATTTTGAAAAACAACAGACAAAAGGTATAGCCTCAGAAAGTTTTTTTTATTTCAGATAAAGAAAAACAGTCTACATATGGATAAAGCACTAAATATAATGTGGAAAAATGTAAAATGCAATTGTCCCATCTAGCAGTTTCCACATTCCCATGATGAGCCTTTCCTACATTTGCCACAGGTAAATTTGCCGCAGTGGACACAACGTTCAGTACTTCTGTTGTTATTGCAGAGTATGCGCACCTGGCATTGAGTCTTTTTCTGCTGGGAAACTCTCATCTCACGACGTAGCTGTTTTTGCTCTTCCTCTTGTGTCTTTTCCTGCAGGAGCCTGTTTTTGAGTTCCTCTGAAAGCTCCAGCATGAACAGTCGACAACTTTCTTTGGATCCTGTACACGCTGTGTACAAAACATGTGCATTTGTGGTGGCCATGTCAAGCAGGTTATAAAACACAGCCATAGGCCACCTCCGTGTTCCTGCACGCACAGAGTAGTTGCGCAGTTTCTGGTCCATAATATCAACACCACATTTGAGATGGTTGTAATCAACCACAGTGTTTGGTTTTGGTTTTTGAATGTCCACAATTTCCACTCTGTGATGCATGGTACTCAGAAGACAGACAGATTTCTTTTTTTTTTTGTCGCATACACCGTCAGCAAGGCACTTCCAGATTTGAACACCTGTGTGGAGTGCAACTGGCACCCCGAGGTTTCCTTTGCAGTTGCTGGTAGCTCCCGACGAATTTTGTTGATGGTGCCAAGCAGAGTTGTATTTCGCTGAAGGAGCCTGTTAGCCAAAGACAGAGAGGTGAAGAAATTGTCCATAGCTACAGTCCTTCCCTTTTCCAAAAATGGTTCCATCAATTTCAGAACAATGTTCTCTGATAACCTCTCTCCTTTTGGACGAGTGGGATCCTTTCCCAAGTAAGGGATGGCATTACACATGTATTTTGTGTCCAGATCTGCTGCAATCCAAAACTTGATTCCAAACTTGTCAGGCTTGGATGCAATGTACTGCAAAAAGGGGCACCGAACCTTGGACGGAAACAGCTGCTCATCCACAGTAACATGCTGTCCTGGACTGTAGGACGACACACAGTTCTGAACAAACCGCATCCAGATGTCAGAAATTGCTGCAAATTTGTCATTGTGTATGCGTTCCTTGCGGGTGTCCTTGTTGTCAAAATGAAGGTACCGTCTTATTTCAAAAAAACGGTTACGAGGCATTATGGGTTTGATATCTGCGTTTCCGAATTTATTGGCCCACATGTGTCGCATGGGACCAATGTAACCCATGGCAGCCCTTCGAAAAAGGATTGCGAGGAAAGCCATCAGCTCATAGACACTCATCTGCCAGCTGGGTTTGTTCTGCGGGCCTCGTGGACTGTGCAGTCTCTGATGGTCAGCAACATGTTCATATCCAACAAACACAGGAAGCTGCGAAGGCGGCTTGTGATTTTGCGTTTCGCAGAATCTGTTGGCCCTCCTGATCCATTGAAGGCAGTCTGTGGGGTTTCAGGAACAGAAAAGTCTTCAACTTTCCAGTGGGACCAAACAGTGCCATCTTTAGCCTTCTCTGTGGATCCAGGCATTGTGCCAACATCAGCAGTTTTTTGTTTTTTGCAAGGAGGGGAGTTGCCGCGCACTGTGTCTTCCTCTTCATCTGATGTAGTCTGGCATGCTCTGAAGATTCGTAGTCTGGCATGCTCTGAAGCATGGCTAAAGCCTCTTGAGCGTTCATCCTTCATGGTCGCCTTGGTTGTGCCATGTTGAATTCCGGGTGAATTCTGAGTCTGTGTGCTGTGCCTGCTCTATTTATCCCCACAGAAATTCTGTAAATTACTCAACTCCTTGAAAAAGCTCATTTACAACACAAAGGGAGGCAACTTTAACAAAGAAACCCCAGCACACCAGCTGAAGTCACCAAACCACATTCCTACATTTGCATTTGATTTGAAAATGGAGCACCAGAGGAGAGCCGTTAACACCTTTGGGGGGATACTTGATACAAACTAGGTGCAGACTAAAGTCTGCACTTTGGGACTTCTAGTGTTAAACAGTCATCTTAATTCAACATTTCCGCCATAACGTTAGTTGTCCTCCTGCACAGCACATATTTCTGTCTTTGAAGCTGGTTGTTTCCAGCCTCAGAATTATGAGAAATCTGACTTTTTCTTTCTCAGATAATTCTTTTTATATGTAACCCCTGGGGTAATTAAGGGTTTTCAGTATCTTATTCAACCAAATGCAAATATAGTTATTTACCATATTTAGTTTAAGGCATGAAGGGAGAGGAAAACATTGTTATTGGTTTTGATTACTGTCAGTTAACCAATCCTACTGCTGTTGCTGCTTCCCACTAGAAGGAGCTAAGCTAATGTGTGAATTGTTTCCCAAATACCACAAAGCAGGCTTAGATCGAAGGTAACTGGATCTCATTATCACAATCCATCCAGACTAATTGGTTTTAATCAGTTTAAACTCAGAGGTCTGCATTTCTGAGCCATATGTCTGAATAATAAAACAGAACGCCTTCTGGACCTCGAAATGGTCCCTGAATTAAACACAGTAAGAAACTGTTTATTCATGCAACTGATGTTAAGTCTCTCTGATAATCATAATCATGATTTAGGATCTTTTTCTTTTGGAATTCTCGCCCAAAGTGGAGAAAAACTCCTGATCCCGGTTATAGTTTTTATCACCACGACAACCATTATTCATTGAGGATCATTGAAGATCCTGATTTTGCTGCTTAAAGCGCACAATCTAAAATGTTTTCACAAAAGATTTTACAGGATATGGAAATTTAAACACATCATTAAAGTAAATCAGCTGCAACAGTGATTTGACTCATTTTAATGAAATTACAATATACTGCAGAATGAATGTGCAGATTATGCACATATTTAGTTTAAACAGAAATCAGCTCAGAGAAGAGCTGATTTACTCCCAGCTGTGTATAATGTGCCATCTGCAGTTTAATTAACAAAGCAGGATTGTTAGTTTGCTGTGTTAAGAGTTGTTGCTACTTACTCTGAGATGTGAACAAAGATGTCTTCTCCACCGTGACACGGTTGGATGAAGCCATGGCCTTGTGATCTGGAAAAGTTCTTACATACGCCCTTAAAAACTGGACCAGACTGAGCACGGACCGTACTGCAGACAAAATGAAGACATGAAAAGACAGAGAGAACCATTAAATTAATGATGATAATTTAAACCTTCAGTATTCATGCAATGCTTAATAATAGAGCTTATATATACTGTGTGTGTATATATATATATATATATATATATATATATATATATATATATATATATATATATATATATATATATATATATATATATATATATATATATATATAAGGTATTCATGTCAGTGTATTTTTTTAAGGATTTTATTCTTTCCTGTTCTGTTACAGCTGCAATCTAATCTTTTTCTTATTGCCAGTAGTGATATCCAGTTGAACCACTAAAAAAAGACGAAAACTTTTAAATTTCTGGAAAATTCTATGGGAAATGCAGGAATCGATTGAGAGGGAAAAAACAGAAAGATCCGTCTAGGAAAAAACATTTAACTGGTGGCCTTTAACCTGCAGTGAAAGTTACTGGAACAATGTGCCTCACTATGAAGAAAATGTTGCTCATCAACAGGCAGGGCTGGATCCACATAATAAAAACATATGAGAGCCCAGTAGGTTTAAAGGGATCAACATTCAGGGGTTTATATAATAAACAATCCTACAGATGAATTAGTTTTGTGGCAAAATGCTTCACAGGCAAACCTATTAAAGCTTTAAAATGGATTTAAATCAGTAATGTTTTTATGTGCAAACTGATGCTGTTTGTTTAAAGCTAAAGGGAGAAACAGTTTAAGCAACTTTGCCTGAATCTAAACTTCAGGACTTTCAGCACAGTTCTTATTAAGGCTGCAAACTACAGGAAGTGAGTTCCCTATATATAAGGCAGACAGTGAGGATATGATCATATATCAGCTTGAAGCAGCAGCTTAGACGTACGCTGAGTAGGTGCGGTTGCGTTTGGTCGGCAGCGGGCTGGGCAGGTCCCGGGGAAGCGGGGGCTCCCTCCCTTCTGGCCACACCCTGTTCCCATCCTTTGGGAAAGGGAAGGAGAGGTTGAGGGGGGTGCTGGGGGAGCGCAGCGGCGTTCCGGAGGGTGACGTGAGGCTTGGGTCGGCCATGTCAAGTGTGATGAAGGGATGCAGGGAGTGAGGAAGACGATGAGAACTGTCACCACTGTCTGTCCTCTGCTGTGTCTGTGATTGAGACGTCCACCACACTGGAGGTCAGCTCTGCCGATTCAGCTCCTTCAACAAGATTTACTGTGAGGAGAAAGAAAGACGAGAGACCAAGAGGACATTAAGGGCCTTTTATACTTAGATGTCATGGGAGACGGAGAATCTTTAAATAAAACAAATAAGAAAATAAATAAAATAAAAAAAATTACATCAGTATTCCTACACCTCTTTATAAAAATAGTGAATGTATTATGTCTTCTTTTTACATGTTAGACCAGTTTAGAGCGCAGTTACAATAATTAGCCATAAGCCAGTTGTGGTAAAACAGAAAATGTGTCCAAGAATCTGCTCTGGTCAAAGAAAATCAATATTTACCTTTTTCTTCACCACATTTTGGAAGAAAACTAACAATGACCATGCTTAAAGTGTGCTTATATCTTAGATTGGCCTAGTCAAAGTCTAGAGCTAAGTCCATGAGGATTCGCTGCAACACTAGAAAAACAGCTGTTCATAAATTATCATTGTCATCTGGCTGATTTTATGCCGTATTCACCAGAAGAATAGACCACCATAATGATCTATTGAGTTTATTATGTGTTTATCTTGTGTGTGGTATCATTGTACAGCACTGTGCACTTCATTCTGAACTTTTGAAATGAGCAAGTGTCAAAAATGTTTATACCACAATCCGTTTGAGATGCTGACACAGAGTGTGATGTTTTGATGACAGCAAAACCAGTTTGTTTGATACCACAAGACAAACCACTGACAAAAACAATCTATTGCACTCAGTCTACACCAACGTTTGCTATAGCGTATTAGAGCTTTTCTGGAGGCAAAATAAAAGGTTTTCTACCAGGATGTCTTATTTATATGCATGGCAATGTGTGTATTGGAGTCATCACAGCTTTTACACAAATTATGCTGATTGTAATAAGGAAGGAGGCGGTTAGAATGGCAGCTTCATTGGCAACAGTGATAAAGATGCAAAAAGATTTATAAGAAATACATCTTTTCACTGCAGTAGCATGATCTCACGTGGAGCAGTTCATAAATAAACAAACTTTAATTTTCATATATTTATTTAGAGAAGGAAATAAGCAATGTTTTATTCAAAATCTCTTGAAATTAAGGATATATCCTGGTGATCCAGGAAACAGTTCTCCTTAAAGGTTCAGTGGATAAACTCCACGTGTTCATGCTTTAGCTGCAAGGACAGAAAAATATTTTATTTTTTCTAAGCTATTCTATCTTCCTGCTCAATATATGTATGCATTAGTGGCCAGAGGCTGAAATAAATATATGTCTCTTTGTATTTCAACATCATTTAAAGGTTTAATAAAGTAATAATCCATCCATTATCTGACACGCTTGTCCTGAGTGGGACAGGACAAACAACCACACTCACACCTAAGGACAATTTAGACAAGTCAATTAACCTAACAGTCATATTTTTGGACTGTGGGAGGAAGCCGGAGTACCCAGGAAGAACCCATGCATGCCAAGGGAGAACATGTAAACTCCATGCAGAAAGACCCCGGGCCAGGAATCAAACACAGAACCCTCTTGCTGCAAGGCAGCCGTGCTAACCACTGCGACACTGAGCAACCCTAAAGTAATAATATCAACTAATAATACTTTATTTGTTTATAAAGGCTTGTTGTTTTTTTGGAAATTCTAGATTGTTTTCATCAATCCACTCCCCAGGCTTTTTTGTTCTCAGATGTGAACTAACTGATAAACTAAATAAATCTCTCTCTGTGACACCGCCAGCTGCAAACCTCGACGGTGTTTGGATTTTATAGTTAGTTGTGAAACATGATTGTTGTACAGCATTTTTTTCAGAATTGAATTTCATTGCGCTTCACCTGCCAGAGGGGATTATTATAATAAAAGCTACATTTTCAAAGCGATATGTGTCTATTTATCTATTATGAAACCCGAGTGAGAAAGAAATAGATTAAATTGAATTGCAGGTTAGCAGATTAATAGTAATTACTAGTAATATTAATAATAACATTAATAATATTACAATGAAAAAAATCATGCAACTGCTTTCGGCATTTACTTAATCATATTTAGTTACTTTAAGACAATTGTTTTATGTCCTACTCTGCTAACATGAAACAATCGTGTTAAAGTAACTAAATATAATTAAGCAAATGCCAAAAGCAGTTGCATTAATTGTTTTCAGTGTAATAATAATAATAATAATTATTATTATTATTATCATAAAGCGCATCTGCTGTCTGTGATTGAGCCTCTTCAGAAAGTCATGATAGAGACTCTTAGAGGCAAAATCAAAGCCAAAATTCATGTTAGATTGAAAAAGTGACTCCAAATCTAGTCCAGATATGAGGAAATGAACCATCTCTCCCACTCGGACTGATCAGATGATCTCCTCTCAGTTCCTCCATAGATTCTCCCACTGATTCATTTTAAGCCATGATGCCATTCTGCGGGACAAACAGCTTACGCCTTTCTGAGCGTGCCTCTGACGCTCTTTACGCCAACTGCATATGCATTGATGCTCGCGGACGGTGTGACGTAAGAACAGCTGCAGAGTGGTGCGTTCGTGACGTCAGGGATCTGTTCCTAAATGACAAATTGTATATGGCTTACTATCCCTGCAGGACTGCAACCAGAAAATTATTACTAGAGCCATATTTCTAGATAGATCTGCAGCAAAGCAGACTAATAAAAGCCTTCATGAATAAATAAATAAAGCAACCATTTTTTATTCCTTCCCCCGTAAAATCCACAGCATATGTGCATTTTTAATTGCATGCAAGCTGCATTGAGTTCGGTGCATATTTTTCTTCCTGGTGGTCAGTTGCACTTTCTGCAAAACACAATCTCCCTCTAATCTGAGTTTCTCTGGATTGTAATTATATAAACTGTGTGAACAGCAATAATTGGAGCATCTGAGCGCAATCAGACAATAGAAAGTCAAACAAAAACAGAGTAAAGGGTCGCTTCTTTAAAACACGCTTAGAACGAGTAGGGGTGAGCTGCAGCAGTTATAAAATAAACACATCAGATGATAAAGTGTTAATTAAATAATTGTTCCGATCTATAAACACAGAGATCAACCCTGATGATTGAGCAAGCCCCCCCTCCCCTGCCCTTAAATAAAAATATGATCACTTACTTTCGGCATGGGTGCTGGAAGAGGCAGAGGAAGATCAGATCGCGTGTTTTTTATGTCGAAGTGGAGCAATGAAATAAATAAATGGAGTAAATCGGCGCAGATCGCACCGGAAACCCCTCTAGTGACGCCCCTGTGATGGAGGGTCTGCGCAGCTGCAAGAGATTCCGATGGCGTGATGGGACTTGTTGGTGAAAGTGACTTTGGTCATCCCCCCCCATCACCACCTGACCTGCATCCGCAGATAGAGCCCAGTTTGGCTGGCTGAGGGGGGTATCTGCAGACATATGATCTATTTAATTATTCATCCAGCCAGCAATTATTCAGATGATCAATCAGACAATGAGGTCACAGCGTTAGATTCAGCAGCCAAAGTGTGCGAATCAGAGATTGATTTAGTTCATCAGAGCAATCGGTGGTTTTAATTAGATATTAGAGGTGGAGGTTTTGACAGTTTGCCCATGAAACACAATGTTCTGCTTTTCTGATTTCACAATAAACAGAAGTGGATCAGAAAAGAACAGGGTGACGGTGAGAACACAAACCATGTGGGACTGTGTCCGTCACAGCCCCCTCCTACCTCACACCTCCTCCCTGGACTCAGTCTGAAGGTGGAGACCAGGGTGTTCACCATGAATCCCATAAAATCAGATTCCTGTGACGTCATCTTAAGTTAAATCTGAGAATTTCCATTTTTCTGTAGATTTTTCTTAGAATTTCCTCTGGTCAGATAAAAAATATTCACAAAGTCCCCAATGCCAGAGAGCATCTTAGGTTAGAAATGTTAAAGCAGAAACAGAGAGAGCTGCTTGGCTGGTCATGGGCGGTTCTAGACAGGGGCCAACGGGGACCGGTGCCCCTGTAGATCATGTCCTGGCCCGTATTGTGGCCCCTGTACTGAAGACATAATACTCAAAGAAATTCTAATGATGATATGTGATGGAACAGACTGATTATTTTTCATTTCACTTTTTTCTTTACAAATTCTGTTTTACTAATTATTTAAAAACAATAAGGTGATAGCTTCAGTGGTATTTAGATAGAATCCTAGTTTTTATCTGTGAAATGTTTTTTTCAGAAAAAATAAAAAAAACTAACATTTTTAGCTCTATTGAGTTGTAATTCAGATTTGATAGAAAACAGTATTTTTAACTTGAATTAAGTCAAAAATATGTAAAATTCCTAAATTATGAATTTATATTGACCTAATGAGACATAGAATCTTAATTAAACCTAATTGAATAGAATTTTCCCTTTTCTGTTCCCCTATGAAAACATGCAGGCCCCTCCTGGCCCCCCAGTACATTTGGTCTAGAACCGCCACTGAATCTGGTCCATAGAAAAAGTGGAATAATGAGCACATTAACTTCTATAACCATATAATTATTAACTTATTATCCCCATAGGGAAGAAATAATTTTCACAGGAGAACAGGTTCAAGGTGAACCTCTAGTAACCTTGATCAAAGAGAGGTAAATAATAAGCAAAACAAGTAAACATAGTTAAAAAAGAAGAAAAAGCAATAAAATTAAACCCACACACACACAAATATACCATTTAGTCTGTTTGTGTCTGGACGTCCCACAGTATCTTAGCTCTTGTACTTAGGAGATGGCTGATTTTGACCTGGGGGTCTCCAGTTTGCAGAGGGGAATAATCCAGATCCAGAAAGTAAAAACCCAGCCTTGTTTTCCTTCATCCTTTTCACTTAACCAGGTGATTAGTGTGCATTTTTTGGACCTGGAAATGCAGATGTTTGAAACTGATATCTTTAAAGGCTTTTTATTTTCTGGATCTGGGTTTATACACCTCTGCCAGTTTGTATCCTGCACAGATGTTTCTGTCCACTATACCAGCCACTTGGTGATGGATTTCCATGTATTCCTTTCCTGCCAGAATCTTTACACCATGTCGTTTGATGGTGGATTGTTTCTGGGGCCTCTTTGCATAGCCTGCAGCTGGGATCTTGCCTGGTATGGTAGATCTGGGTCTCTATTGCTCTGGTGCTGAAGATCTGCTCCTGTGCTGTCAGGATCAGGAATGACAGGTGTGCAACTGAAACAAGAAGACCATTGGCAAGAGAACAATATATGTAAAATTCTGGGCAAGTAGGGGGGCGTTCGTAAAGACCATGCTTATCAGTGTCACTGCTCTGCATGCAAAACTCACTGAACAAGCAGATTACAGGGAATAATTAGGCTCATTTCATGAAGCAAAGGAACATAAATTCCTGGTTTTAAAGTCATAATCCATGTTAATTATATATTGTCATCCATAGCTACATAGATGCAAGTACTGCCTGTGTTTGGCTTGATTCATTTTCTATTAGACTGTATACAGGTGCTGGTCATAAAATTAGAATATCATGAAAAAGCAGATTGATTTCAGTAATTCCATTTAAAAAGTGAAACTTGTATATTATATTCATACATTACATACAAACTCATATATTTCAGATGTTTATTTTGTTTAATTTTGATGATTACAAATGACAACAAATGAAAATCTCAAATTCATCATATCAGAAAATTAGAATATTGTGAAAAGGTTCAAAATTGATGGACCCTGGTGCCACACTCTAATCAGCTAATTAACTCAAACCACCTGCAAAAGCCTTTAAATGGTCTTTCAGTCTAGTTCTATAGGCTACACAATCATGGGGAAGACTGCTGACTTGACAGTTGTCCAAAAGACGACCATCGACACCTTGCACAAGGAGGGCAAGACACAAAAGGTCATCGCTAAAGAGGCTGGCTGTTCACAGAGCTCAGTGTCCAAGCACATTAATAGAGAGGCGAAGGGAAGGAAAAGATGTGGTCGAAAAAAGTGTACAAGCAAGAGAGATAACCGCACCCTGGAGAGGATTGTGAAACAAAACCCATTCAAAAATGTGGGGGAGATTCACAAAGAGTGGACTGCAGCTGGAGTGAGTGCTTCAAGAACCACCACACACAGACGTATGAAAGACATGGGTTTCTGCTGTCGCATTCCTTGTGTCAAGCCACTCTTGAACCACAGACAGCGTCAGAAGCGTCTTGCCTGGGCTAAAGAGAAACAGGACTGGACTGCTGGTGAGTGGTCCAAAGTCATGTTCTCTGATGAAAGTAAATTTTGCATTTCCTTTGGAAATCAAGGTCCCAGAGTCTGGAGGAAAAGAAGAGAGGCACTTCATCCACGTTGCTTGAAGTCCAGTGTAAAGTTTCCACAGTCAGTGATGGTTTGGGGTGCCATGTCATCTGCTGGTGTTGGTCCATTGTGTTTTCTGAGGTCCAGGGTCAACGCAGCCACATACCAGGAAGTTTTAGAGCACTTCATGCTTCCTGCAGCTGACCAACTTTTTGGAGATGCAGATTTCATTTTCCAACAGGACTTGGCACCTGCACACAGTGCCAAAGCTACCAGTACCTGGTTGAAGGACCATGGTATCCCTGTTCTTAATTGGCCAGCAAACTCTCCTGACCTTAACCCCATAGAAAATCTATGGGGTATTGTGAAGAAGAAGATGCAATACACCAGACCCAACAATTCAGAAGAGCTAAAAGCCACTATTAGAGCAACCTGGGCTATCATAACACCTGAGCAGTGCCACAGACTGATCGACTCCATGCCACGCCGCATTGCTGCAGTAATACAGGCCAAAGGAGGCCCAACTAAATACTGAGTGCTGTACATGCTCATACTTTTCATGTTCATACTTTTCAGTTGGCCAACATTTCTATAAATCCTTTGTTTTTATTGGTCTTCAGTAATATTCTAATTTTCTGATATGATGAATTTGAGATTTTCATTTGTTGTCATTTGTAATCATCAAAATTAAACAAAATAAACATCTGAAATATATGAGTTTGTATGTAATGTATGAATATAATATACAAGTTTCACTTTTTAAATGGAATTACTGAAATCAATCTACTGTTTCATGATATTCTAATTTTATGACCAGCACCTGTATGTGATTTTTAGAAACGGGCACAGATTCTATTGGCTCTGACAGTTTTACGGATGTGTCAATTATTCACAAATATTTTTGAGCTTACTTTAAAAGAATCCCCTCATTTGATCTAATTGGCAAACCCTCCTGAATTTATACTAATTAAAACATATTGATGGAAGTCAAAGAAAGGGTCCTACTGAACAAGGCATTCTAACAATAAAATGATCCTGAACATACTTTAAATATGGTTTGAAATAGTTAAAAATATCTAAAATTTACATCTCCAAAGAGCAAGCATACAACATTTCTAAAAAATGTTACGTTTAAAAATGTGCCAGGAAATCAATCAGTTGTATTTCAGTCTACGCACTCTGTCGAGAACTGAAAACAAATTTTATGGACCTTTTATATAAATACTAGTGGGGGTGTTTGCATATATTTAAACATTTTCTTTCTTTGGAATCCACAATAATGTAAACCAATGCACCCAACTCAGCAGTTTTCTCTTAATAACAGCAGATTTTTTTTGTATAATTTTCATCCTGAAAAACAGGAGCTTAAAAGCTCCTCTAAAATGCTTCATTTTGTAATTTTTCTATCAATATTATAAAACTGACAGAGAAGCTACGTCCTCTGGTGACCCACCTCTTTCCAAGAACACAAACGGAAAATAAGTTGCAGCAGAAAGGGACCGGAATAAATTACTGGCTTGACTTGCAGTTAAATCTTTGTCATTTTGCTGGTGATTGGATCTGGACAATAAAACAGTTCAGCCAAAGATGAGTTTATGTCCACCAAGTATCTCCTCATGTGTTTTCAAGTCCGTTTTAAAATACCATTTAATAGCACCCCTAGTAAAAGACCCTAGAATGAAATAAGGCTTTACTGCAGCAGAATAATCACACGTCACAAAGTTAGAAAATAACAAATCTTTAATTAAAATAGATCTATTTAGTAGATGGAAAAATAAGGATTTTTTTTTTTTTTGGAAATGCTTAAATTCAAAATTAATATTTTTAGCTTAAATTAAGGCCATTTGAGTACATAACATTTATCCAGCTAATCAGGCTGTTATCAATTTCAAAACTCTGGACCAAAAACCCATAATTAAAAAGAAGATCCTTGAAAATAGCTGTAATTGAATCTCATAAAAAGGAATGTTAACATTGGGCCTAGTTTAACATCAGAGATGTAAAAGGTCTCAAAAATCTGTGAAAAAAACTTTTATTCAGTGCTTTTATCTGTTGGGAACAATAAAACCAAAAATATCAACAAAGTGAGCGAAAACTCTCTTCTTTGTGGCCAAGTAAGGATAAATACACCAGCAATCAACTTTTTTATCAGTCAACTAATAGAAAAAGAAACAAAGCTCACAAACTAACCTTTTTTACCCATATAAAGAATTCACATTTTCCATATCCAGATTGGAAATGAAATAAAATCCTGAATTTAGGACTGTTTTAGGAACCACTAATGCAATAGTTATTAGTCTCCGTAACATTCCCTATAAAATAACTTCTTTTAGTTTATTCATTACTTCTTTGAGGATCTCTAAATGTTACCTCACAACTTCCTTTTTCCCTGCAGTACTAATTTAATATGACAAACAGGGCTGTTCATTTTAGACACCAGCTTCTAAGCTGGATGATAATCCTTTCTGCAGCATAGTATTATGTTCCTACCAGCTGTTGGAAAGCTGTTTATGTCCTGCCATGGCAAATGTAAACACATAAAGATCCCCCAAACTCCTCTGGGACTTTAACTGAAACCATGTTCTTTTCCCAAAACTTTTTTTCATACGACAAATTCAACAGAGATGCTTTTTAACATAGAAAATGATTTTAGATCTCAGCTCTCAGTTGAACCCAACAGACAAGCTGTAGGCTAAGCTGAAGAGGAAAGCACATTATAGAAAAGCCAGGACTCTGGAGAAACGGTGATCAGAGGAATCCTGCTGCAGTAAAAGATTTTAAGGCCTTTTCACACATATTTAACATAAGAGTCTATAGATGTGGCTGACATTTAACAAAAATATACTAGAAGTGGCTTTTTTTTTAACCTATTTTGTATAAATCAAATGAATAGAAATGTTCTCTTAATAAATACATACATACTGGAGCATAGAAGGAACATAGAAACAATGACAGTATAATGGGTTAACATCTGCATCAGAAAGCAGCTCCAATGGTCAGATTCCTGTTTACAGTCCCTGCAGATCAGCTGCAGAGCTCCATCTGCTCACTGACTGTGTTCCTCCTCTGTGGTGCTAGCTGTTCCACCAGGACAGCAGCCCCAGTCCGGGTTCACAGATGGTCCCCTGGAACGAAAACGCAGAGTCAGGATGAGCGCCGCGTTCCAGGCCAAAGTTAGAGTCACTGCACATAACAAAGCTGCTGGAATTTCTGCTGTTAAAGCCACAGCATCAGGAACAGAGAAAAATATGACAAAAATACAAAAAAAAGGGCTTAATTACCACTAGACAGAACAAAAATAAAGTGTTTTCTCTTAACCTAATCAGGTATTTATTGTATCGTAGATTCAGATAGAAAAAAGTAAATTCAAAAGTTATACATTTTTTTCATATTTGCACTTTGAATTTCCAGCACTGAAAGAAACTTAACTGGGCTAATATTTAATTAATTAATGGAAAGGATAACAATGAAGCTAACTTGATCTCCAGAGGCCTGATTGCTTCTTTTAAAGCAGCATTTGTATGCCCTGCTTCATGCCAACCATTAGCCAAATTAAAACGCTGGAGATTAAGTGGTTTTTGGACCATTGTTTTGTCCTCAACGCCGCAGATGGCTGGAATTGAACAATTCAAGTGATTTTGGAAACTTTGATTCAATGAGATAAAACTGAGCTAAAGACAGAATAACATCTGAAACGATTGAGTAGACTCTTGCAAAAAGATCCATGTTTGCTTATATTTTATTCCTTTAGATTTTGGCCGATTGCATGCTATGTTCTTTCTAGGTTTCTAAGCACATTGGCTATATTCACCTGACGTAAACTAAAGCAAAGGTTAAGGCCTTTTATACTGAATGTTGTGAAATCTTACCCAATCTGTATTTGGTACGGATCTAATAATATTAAATTGGTTAGATTTCCACTTTAATAAATGGACTTTAAAAGAGGCCTTATATCAGAAATCTATTATATAGAACAAATAACTTATTGCCTGATGCTTCAAAAATACATATTTGTTAATTAATTGTATTTGGCCATGACCATATTAATGCAGTAAGACTTTTTTTCTGCTTATTTAATTACTAACTACATTTATGTTTGTAAGTTACTTATGTTTAACCATGTGACTTACTCTACTTGTAAGCCTAACTCGTTGTATATACTTTCAAAGTTTTGTTCTTTTTAAAGTAAACCGTATAGAGCAGCAGCCTGAATGTGGGCATGTATGTATACGTCTGTGTAAGATGCAAAAAATTAAATAAATCTAAGTGAAAAAACAAAAAAAAGAGGCCTTATATTAGGAAGACGTTGAGAAGAATTCTGGGTAGTAACATCACTAACTGTGTTGGGTAAGTTAGGGTAAGGCCGCGGTTCTCAAAGTGTGTGGCGCGACCCACTGGTGGGGAATTGAGACGTGACAGGTGGGGCGCGCCAAGTTCCGGTGTGTGTGTGTGCGTGTGTGTGACTATAAATGTAGAACGTGTGAGAGCAAACTGTCCTTATAGCTGTATGTTGCCGCCTTTTAGACCAATCAAACCCACAAAGTAATCATTACTAGCCTACATGCAGTCTAATTAAAAGAACATTAGATATGAGAAACATTTCACCTGGAACTGAAGTGCCAAAATAATTATTGACGTGACGTCGGCATATTATTTGTAACGGAATAAACTTTCGCGCCCCAGTGTTGCCAACTCAGCGACTTTGTCGCTATATTTCAGACCCCTCCAGCGACTCTTTTTCAAAAAAGCGACTAGCGACAAATCTAGCGACTTTTGGAGACTCTTACGTGAAAGCACGTATCGTTCCTTTTCTTGTCCTCCAGCGGCAGGTGCTGCCGTGGGGCGCCTCCTCCGTCCCAACCCCGTTCTCCCCCGCTATCGCAGGAGTCCCTCTCAGCGCTGCAGTCAGAGCAGAGACACAGCATGTTTAACTTTAGCGTCCAGACTGCAAATAAAGCGCACATGCGCCGGGATTGACGGCGCAGGTTGATCATAAATAACTGAATTTGAAATATTTTATTAGTTTATTATGCAATGAAAAATAAAGTAAGTCTATTTTTTCCTATTCTGTCTGCAGCACCTGCTGATTTTAGGTCTGCTGAGGAGGACCAGTTTATTGAAATGACGTCTGACTCCACCCTGAAGCTCAGGTTTAATGCTCAGACTAATAGTGAATTCTGGTTAGGAGTGGAGAGCGAGTATCCACTCATCGGGCAGAGAGCTGTGTGCATTCTTCTTCCCTTTGCCACATCATATCTCTGTGAGATGGGCTTTTCAGCTGCTGCTTCAATGAAAACAAAATACAGATCTCAGCTGAACATTGAGCATGACTTGAGAGTGGCAGTATCAAGCCTGCAACCCTGTTTTGAGAAACTGTGCAATGCAAAACAGGCTCATTGCAGCCACTAATGCAGGGATAAATAGAACTGTCTTGCCAGATGGATTTCACTTCTTTTCTTTTATTAACAGATTGCAGAGTGGCACTTTAATTTTTTCTATCTTTGAGCTTGATACAAATTTTGACACAGCTGCATTTTTATTTTCTTTATTTTTTAGCTTGCTGTTATTTGATGTAGATAGTTTGTATTTAGATACTACTTGTTACTTCAGTAAAATTGGAACATTTTAAGATTGTTGCATATTTCATTAGCATTGTGTTGGGGCGATGGGGACAGGCGGGGCTTGAAAATTCCCCCTTGTCCAAAGTGGGGAATGACAGAAAAAGTTTGAGAACCACTGGGGTAAGGTAAGTAGTTATTGTTACTAGTAACTTCTTCAAAAAAGTAATCCACTTAGTACCTTGTTACAAACCAAAGTATGCAGTTACTTTTTATGATCTAAAGTGTTGAAGAATTTTGAAAACTTTCCTGTTAATGGAGTTTTATATATAACTAGAGCAGGGGTCACGGGCACCAAGGGGCCCTTCAGGACCATATGGGGTGCTCTCAGCACCTTCTGAAAACAGATAAACTTACCAGTGGACTATGTTTTAAATTTAGTTTTATCCTGTTGCTCTTTGTTTTTAATCATTTAGAGCATTTCTACATATTAATCATATAGAGGATTTTGTAGATATTTAAAAATGCCAATATCTAACAGAAAATTAGAAATGAAAACAAACAATAGGTATATTTTAATTAAACATTAAGTTATAATAAAAGCTGACCCCTCCGGGTCATTGGTCATAATTGGCCGCCGTTACATTGACTCAGCAGCCCTCAACCTTAAACAGGTTGGTGATTCCTGAACTAGAGGTTCAGTTTTGGAGTTCAGTTGTTATTAATTAATAAATAAAATAATTAAATCGTCCACAAATCAGAAAACATTGAAAACTCCTCTGTATTATTTTGATGCATGTGGTTTGATAAGAGTTTCAATGATATTATATTTACATAGTTAAAAACGTAAACCATGCAAGTGAAATCATTACAGCTGTGAGGAAGTAAAGAACGTGTTGATTAAAGGCAGCAGCTGTCAGTGAGTTAAGCTGATATACGGAGCTTCTAACAGACATGGATAAAGGCTTTGTATTCGAACATGATGAGCAAATCACCGCAACATTTAGCCTTCAGCGAGAGCTTTTTCTGTAGAAAAACCAATCGTCTCAACTCTGAGTTGTGCACACAGGTGTTTTGTGCCCCACATCAGCTTACAGGTAAACGTTGCTGACACGTGCGCTTACACCAGGAAACTATAGTCCTGTTTTTATACTCCGTAAGTAATGAATAACAAATCTGTCTAAGACGCAGTAACGACTAATGCATTATTGATTTTTATCAAATAATTAGTTATGCAAAAGGTAACTTAGTTACTGTAACATGTTACTAATGGGTCACTGAGGTCATTAAGGCTATGTTCACAAAGCAGGGTTTAATGCTCAATTCCGATTTGTTTTGGGTAAAATCCAATTGTTTTGCATGGTCCTAACATTTCCAAATATATGCAACCTGTATGTGATTTCCTGTGTGAACTGCATTTATACAACTTAAGTATCCCGCACTCACAGCAGAGGACGCGATGAAATCACAAGTGGCAAGCGATGGCGTAATAAGTGCTCTGTGTTAATAGAAGTAAACATGGATGGTAGTGCTGTAATGCATTTAGCAATCTTTCATTTCTTTTGCAACCGGAGGCAGCGGATCAACAATGCAAACTTTTCAAGAAGGATGAAAAAAAAAAAACTGCTCTTGCATTATCGTCCACAATGGCAGTCACTTTTCTTCCCATTTCTACATTGCAAGATGCAGAATAGTGATGTCGAGTAATATTGACGTTCAGACACAGGTCCCATGAATTGAATTTAGGACCACACACCTAATGGGTGGCTGAGGTCACTAATAGGTCTTTAGGGTCACTAATGGGTCCTTTATGACTAATGTTGTTAAATCTTAATTAGTCGAGGGGGTTTTTAAAAGCGTGACTAATGTAATGTAAGTGACTGACTCTACTCTCTGATCTGATTCAATGTCCAAATATGTCACCTAAAGATAAAAATGTGTTTTATTCGCTCATAATTCTTAAGGTTTGCATAAATTTTCAATTGAAAAAGCTTCCTGGATGGGAAGCGAAATGTCTTCAAATTTGGAAACAAAGTTCAGTGGATTGTTTTGTCATTTTATTCTTTTTGGAATGACTATGACCTGGATGACTGAGAATCTTCACCAGCATATGTGTACATCAGTACTCACTACAATCTAGTGCAATGGCAGCCCACTCTTCCCCAATGGGATGGGTTAAATGCAGAAAGTTAATTTTGTTGCTTTGTACTTGTGACAGTGCAATGACAATAAAAAAAGATGGTATACTGCAAACTACCTGAGGAGGCAAGGACACCGTTTTCAAAAGAACCACTTATAGGAAAAGGGACATTTTTTGAAGAAGTGATTTCAGACACTTTTGATGGTGGGAGAAGAAACGAGGAAAACATCTAACGGGATCAATCGGGCTCCATTTTTAATCAACCTAAAATGCAGCCCTGACCGGTTTCCCTAGGCAGTTTAATAGGCCATTCATGCCTTGAGATGTGACCAAAAGAAACTGTCAGATGACAACGATAAAGATCAAACCAAATAAAGGAATAGAGCATCGCCTCACGTGGCATAAGTGACCATGAAGGCCCTAAACAGCGCGACTGTTTTGACAACAACTTGTATGAGACATAAAAAGCACCATCAGATTAGTGCTGCAGCCATCTCTATTAATCTAGCAATAAGTTTTTCAATTCATCGATTAAAAAATATCCTTTGTACCTTTTCATTGAGGTATATTTATTTACTATGTAAAACAGAACCCAATGCAAAGAAACGCTACTTGCAGAGAGCATATTTATGGCCAAACGTTAAAGGTTTAAATGCAAAACATTTAGATTATGTGCAGATTTAGATCAACTGCTGCTCTTAGTCAGATGACAATTATTTGATCACTAAATCACCTGACGATTATTGGAGTAATCTAATTACTTGTTTTAGCCTTAGTTTAGAACTAAGGAAGCTTTTAGGATGAAAGATAACATGTTAAAGAAATAAGAAAAGAGTTTGCTTTGCTTTCAACTTTAACAATTAGGTTAACTTTAGAATTTTGGTGTCAGGGACGTTTGTAATTTATTGGATGTTCCTAAACATCTGATCTTTAGAGAAAACTCAGTAAATTATATCTGCTAGTTTACACAGAATTAAATAATCCTTACAATCAGCGTGTACGGAGCCTCTTTTTTCTCTGCACTCTCTTCTGCAGGCGGGGCAGTCGATTGTCCAGGTTGTGCCGGAGTATCAGACGTGGCGACGGTCGGCCCCGTGGGCGACGTGTCCACAAACACCTCGTCTGCCACCTTGAAGCGGATCTCCTCTCCCTGGTCCATGTAAAGGTCGTGCGCTCCCTCGTCCGTCTCGTACTCCCAGACCCAAACCTGCTCTGCTTCGTCACTGAGGCTACAGCTAAGGAACGTCAACTCAAACCATTGCTTTAGTGACACAGACAGCAAAGCGTGTTAAACAATGACTCCCCGTTATTTTTATGGGTGGGATACAATTTGGCAGGTTGCTGAAGAGACTCTGGTGGAATCAGAATGTCATCGAAGAAATCCATCGTAACTGTAAGCAGAGGTTAACCACATTAAAAACTTACCAAAGGCCTTTTATTCACCATGAAAACAGTGAAATAAATGTGTTATAGGTTATAAATGAACATGAACAATTATATATTTCTTTAAAAAAACATAGACTTTAAAAGCTTGATTTAGAAATTAGTTTTTTAAAGACAAACTGAAACATTTTGGCTGTTCTTGTAAAAAAAAATATTGGATTCTTGATTTTGTGCCAATTAGGGCTGGGCAAATAATTGCATTTACAATATAATCACAATTTAACAAAACAGAATTTTCAAATCTTAGAGGCTCTCAATTTTAATGACACTACATTTAACAAAAGTAGGACACCAAAATTCTCACTTCAGCCCTCTAGGTGGCGCTAAAAATCTTAACTGGGTTTGTCTCTGCACAGAAAGGTAGAGAGAGTTGCAGCTAGCATGAAGAGCAGTCAATGCAAGAAGAAGTAAGCACCTTTACACAGTAAAATTCTGCAACAACAAACTCTGGACAGGCAAGATTTCAAAAACTAAAAGCCTAGGGTGAAACATCAACAAACTTGGGGTTAGAGCAAAGGAAAATTGAATAAAATTGCAGTATTGGTTAAAATAGTTGCAATTTTGTTAAGACCATAGAGCCAAATTCATTCTACTATCCAGTCGTAGGCAAAACAAGCTACATGCGTGCCGCTTCCACTGGGTTCTTGAAGGGAACACTAAGGCCCAAACGTTCCCTAACCACTAACCCTTCACTATCAAGTGTCACTCCCGATGAAGTCTCACTACCAGCTGTGGAGGCGCCTTGATTGAAGGTTGGGGGGGTATAAACGAGAATGGGACGGCTTCTTCCCTTAAACAGAAAAGGATAGCAGCCGTTGCTATGGCAACACAGCTTAATGGCGCAGCTTAACATAACATTCAAAATTTGCCCCTGTCTTAAAACAAATATATATGGTCAAATAAAACTTTTTCAAAGAGGCATTCCATTTTGTTTTTTTTTGTTTTTTTTTATATACTAACTTGTGATTTTCTGTTAGTGTGATGAAGATGCAGCAAACCAGCGGAATTTACATTTGGCGGAAAGTGTTTCCTTCGTCACAAGGCCGCCTTTAGACCTGCGGCGGGATTCCAGCCCTTATTTTTAAGGGCTGAACGTTTCACATATTAGGAATCCACTACCTGGTTTGGGACGGCACTTAAAGTGCGGCAAAATACAAATGGAGGGTTATTTCTCAAGGTTTAGTGTTTAGGGGCCGGTTGGGCCTAAAACATTTAATGATCTTAACTAACTAACATGAGCAGCTGTTAGCACCTGTGCTAAAGCAGAAGTATAGTTTGCTGCTCACAGCTGCACAGAATGCCAACCAGGAAAGAAAACAGCAATAAACACTGAAAATTTACAGGAATCATTATAGGTTCAACATCCAACTGGGAGAAGAAAAATGTTCCCAATTTATACCAAAGTCAGACCTGGTGATGCTCGGAGAAAATTACCAAGAAACCACAAGTCAGGTCTGAAACGGCACAAGCCTCAGGAAATTTGTGAAACGTTAACAGGAGGAGAAGAGCAAGACCAAACACGTTTGGGTGGAAGGTGTGCAGCAGAAAACCTTTTCTATTATAGAAGAACATTAATAAGGTTGTGACGATGCATCTTCTCAAGACATTTGAGGTCTGAGTGAGAATATTTGGCCATGATCCACAGGATCCCATTTGGAAAAAAATAAGCTGCTTCTCATCAAATACCAAACAGGACAAAACTTATTTAAAACCCTTTAAAAGTACCATGATTGGTGCGACGTTGCAAAGTCTATAATCCCATTTCTTTTTAAGTACTGAAGCGTAACTTAGAATCTTCTTGTGATCTGGAGGACCAACGTGCAAACTCTGGAAAGTTTTTAACAGGTTCTAAGTTGTGGATCAAGAGTTCAGGTCGGAATCAACTCTGGGTCAGAGAATAGACGTCAAAATTAATCGAGCACATCATAAAATCTATTACTGTGAAGCTAGAAAACAACAGATGAGGTGTTGCAATGGTCCAGTCAAAGTCCAAACCTTCTCCTCCAAAGCTTTGCAGAGAACAGAGAGAACAGCGCAGGAGCAAAGGGTCATGATTTCACTGAACTACAGCAAGAGAGAAAAATGTTTGGATGGAAGTTTTTCCAGCTCTAAGAGACTAAACAGAACAGATAGAAAACAAATAATTTCTACTAATGAATCAGTGGGTATACTTACTTCTTCCATGTTTCTTTATATATATCTATAAAGACATATGCGTTTGTATGAGCAGAATGATGAATGATGGAGGTTAGAAATTACCATGAACTCCCTCCTGACTGCAGTATTTGATCTTCCCGATGAGGATCTCATCGAGGAACGGGTGGAAGACGACAAACCGGAAGTGGACTAAAAAATAAAGAACAGAATGAACAGAATGAAAGAGGATCAGGAATCTGGAAGATTAATTTATAAGTGAATATAACAGCAGTCAGGGTGGTGTTTAAATGATCCAGCACCTTCATCTTCATACCTTTAGTGTGCGAGGCGCCATCACCGGGGAAAATATACGAGTCTTCCAGCTTGGTGATGTCATACAAACAGATGCAGAGACCCACATTGTAGACCACCTGGGTTGAGAGAGTTTAGTTTAAAGTGGCAGCATATAGTGCAAACAGTCTAACTTCTGATAGCTACATTTATTGCAGTAGCTACAGAATCTTTGGAACATGTTTTGCTTTTGTTTTGGGGCTGATAAACACCTTCTTGATTGAACAAATCTTCAGGTAAACTTGCAAGATGAACTTAAGGTTTATATTGGTGGATTTTCCTTGCCTGGGCATTTCCACTCTATGGCCTTAAATGATTCACATCAAGCTCCAGATATTTTTCTCACAGAAGAAATAAAATAAATTAACTGATCTGCTCTACGATATTATATCACATGAAGTTTTGTAATTTCCCAGCTCAGGTGAATGCAGCACAGGCACAAACTATGACCAATTAAAAGGAGTTTATGTGGAAGTGGCACTCATCCATAGCCTGGGTGCCAGTCCGAACTTAGTCCCGCCCACAAGGTTTGAGTTCGGGGAAGTTCGGTCTGGCTCTGCTCCATAGTAGCGCGAGTATTATCGCCCACTGTCAGGCGATCCAATCAAATTGTCAGGGCGGGCTTTATACGATGATGGACAGATGATCAAGAGTAACGTAATCAACCACGTGACCAAAGCGCGCTTGGGTGACAACAATAATGGCTGCCGCTGGAGAGTTTGGGTGAGTAGATTCTGCTATTAGGTCTGTTCTAGAAGATATCGACAGCAAATTAATTTTAAAAGAGGAACAGAGAAACGCGATCAAGTCTCATCTTCTTATTCTAGGCGTGAAACTGCACGCTTTGATTTTTGTGGACAACAACTATGCCTCGCTTAACATACGTCACGCACTCCGTTGCTCTTATTGGTTGTAGATCTATCCGATTGAGTGCAGAGGCATTTTCTTTCCTGGTTCGTTCGAAACACGCCCCATAATCACAGCTCTATGGAGCAGTATCAGACTCATATTCTGACTAGAATTGAGTCGGACTACGTCAGGCTAACTCATCCATCCTTTATATTATATATTTCTGTCATTTAATTCCTTTTTCTATCCATCTAATTAGGATGGTTTGTTGTCTTGTATTAAAATAAAATGATTAATAATATAATTTTATGTATATTAAAGCTGCAGTCTGTAACATTGAGGAGAGAGCAGACTTCGATTGAAAATTTGAAGAAAAACCGGTTTCACGCCACTCCCCCACCCTCTCTGCTTCACTCATGCCCCACCTCCAAGCTCCACCCCTCTCACAGCATCTGCACGGCTACCGCATGCGACCAGAAGGGGGGGGGGGATTCAGCGTGTGTGAGCTGTGATTGACACTCCATCAGACGCTCCTCTGGCTGTGATTGGTTGTTTTGACTCCTCCCGAAATTATTCTTTCCAGATTGAAATACAGTTGGTAGGCGGTACCAATTGAAGCAGTTTTTTTCACAGCTTACATATCACATGTACTGCTGTCTGGGCATAGGGACAGTTTTAGCCAATATGACAAAAAAGTGATTTTTAAAAACTTACAGACTTCAGCTTTAAGTTCAGGATTTACATAGCATTATAAACATTATGGCATTATGGCATGAAAAACAGATGAAGTGGGTGTAAATGAAACTGAAACTTTATTTTTTGCTTTTCAAAGGTTAAAATAAAAAAATCTTGGTATATATATATATATATATATATATATATATATATATATATATATATATTTTATTTTTTAAGATGCATTTAGGGTGTAAGAAAACATGTTTTATATAGCACCAGAAAAATTTCAAAATAGGTTGTTTGTGAAGTTCATATCTGACTAAAGAAAAAAATAAATAAAATAAATTTAGACATGAAATTGTGTGTGGACATTATACATCACCACCACAGTCACATCCCAGAGAAACACTACACTGCAAACCCCCCACTATACAACACAAAGTGTATATAAATATATATTTATATCATTTATTTATTTTTAATCTAACCCAAAACATTTTAGTTTAATTTAATGACAGTAAATCTGGTTTAAAATGTACTTATTTATTAATTTTTTTACATTTAAAACAAAATATAAGAGCAGACATCTGTAGCTCTATGTAAAGCTTGTGAGGCCATCTGGCTGATAAACGCATGGCTGCAGTAAATTTTCCTGGCTGCCGTAAAGTCTCCTGTTTCTGGATCTTTGTTCAGCATCATCCGATGAAGATGACCTGCCCTGCCCTCCCTCACCTTGTTGGCCAGCTTTTTGTTCAGCTCCTCCGCTACGGCGTCGTTCAACTGTTTCTCGAAATCAGACGGCAGGATCCGAACAGTGTCCACCATCTCCACCAGCATGAACATGATCACCACTAAGCACCGGGGAGCGGAGCAGCGCCGCTCACAGGGTCCAAAACACCGCCGAGGGGCAAGAGGAGGGATGCTCAGTTTAAGCTCACAGCATTTTTAGTTTTTTGTTTTCTTTTTTAAATTAAAACGGCTTCCAGCGATGAAACTCCTGTCCAACATGACACTGAACCAACGTGAGCTTTTGCGACAGTGCGCCTCTCTTTTACTTGTTCGTGCGACAGCCTTCTACTCTCACTACCGCCCCTCGTGGAATTACACCGTTCCTACAGCGTCCGGGCAATTTTTAACTGCCTTTTCCACAATACATAGTGAAGCTCTCCTAATACATTTCATTACAAATACTGTGTAAAAAAGAAAAAAAAACTCGAAAATATTGATTTAAAGATTTAAAAAATGTTAGATTTTGTGGCTTACCAGCCTTCACTAATTTTAATGTATGATAAACCAGAAATCATCCTAGTCAAGTTAAAGGTATAATGGAGGATTTTCTCAATTTTTTTAAAGAACCAACCTTTCCACTTTAAAAAAAAATGCACATGCACAACCCTGCACCCGCTTCAGAGAGGGAACACCTATTGAACATGTGTGAGAGCATGCATGAACCCATTTCTCCTCATGCATGCTTCGTTTAAAAGTTGCTGTTTGCATCGCTCATACAAGCTTACTTTCTAAAAGATTTGCAATTTTTCCACTGTCAGAAACACCACCGGTTAGTGGAAAGGCAGGACGGTCTTACAACATATTGCTAGAATGATTGACAATTAAAAGGACCACGTATTTTGATAATCCACCCAGAAAAAGAACATCATGTACTCCATCATACCCTTTAAGGTAAGATAAATACTGTTTACAATAGTTGTACATATCATTTCATGGCTTTAGGAAAGCGGACATTTTACACTTTATCTAAAAAAACTCCAGGACATTGGGTTGAATACATTCAAAAGAATCCTTTTAAGTCGGAGCAGGTATCAAACTTTAGTCCTCAAGGGCAGGTGTCATTTTATTTATACAGCGCCAATTCACAACACTTTCATTCAGCTACATTTCAGACAGTTCAATCAGATCATACAGTCAGATTAGTCATTATTTTTTTGTCAAAGCACATGCTGCTGTTTGCATCAAGTCAGGAACTTGCAGGATGCACTGATCCTAGGTCAGCTTGTGCTGACAGCAGATATTAACTTGAATTCTCTTGTTGACCTTTCAGGACAAGTAGAGAAACAAGTCTATAATCTGAGGCCATGGGAATATCATTTTCAGTGCTGATTAGCTCTAAAACCAAATTACAACTCTTCAAACAGTTCAATATGGTGTAAGTGGTCACATACTTGTTAAGGAACTACTTTCTCCAGAATTTTAGATAAGGAAGATTGGATATAGGTCTATAATTGACCAAGCCATCTGGGTCAAGAGATTGTTTCTTAAGTAAAGGTTTTATTACAGCTACCTTAAAAGCCTTTGGTACATATCCCTGGAAGAAGGAGAGAGTAATCACATCTAAAATTAAGGTGGAAATCTGAGGGAATTTCTATGTTTTGAAGAGAATATGTTGCTGGTTTATAGAAAGTCCTCATAAAGATACCTCTTCATAAGATTACTTATTAAATAACAGAGCTATATCTAATCTATCAGTATTTTTGATAAAGGTGAGTTGCTAAACACATATTTCAACCTTAATGACATCAGATATTGTGTCTATAGTTGTCCTGTTAAATTTCCTGTATATGTCGGGAATGGGTGCCTTTATCACAAAATAAAAATGAAAAGAAAAAGACATTGACTTTAGATTTTCTTTATTGTTTCCATTTGTAAATAAGATATTGCAAGTTTATACGCTAAAAAACAGCAAATTACTTTTACAAAAATTAAGTCAAAAGAATCCTATGAAGAGAAACATGATGAAAGAGGAACCAAAATTAAATTATAACATGTATGAGGTCACAGAGATCTGAGTTTAACAAAAAAGATAATGCCACCATATTGTTCACAGGTTAGTCATCCTACACATGCAATCTGAAACGAAAACAGCAGCAAAGCCTCATCTGGTTTTACAGATATAATGTTTTTCAATGTTTAGATGGGAAAAATGGGGTGATCATGGTTGTATGGAACAAAAAAGAAAATGTTTTATAGGAAACAGTAAAAATTTAAACCAGGTAAATCATAGTTTCATAACATTTAACCAATTTTTATTCCAATCAAGTCTTCAGTGTTAAAAAAGCTAAGCAGTGGAGTGTACAAGATATTCAATCAGAATATCATCTTAATCAAATTAATCAAACTTTATCACCACCCTTTTTTAATATTTAGTACAAAGTTAACACATTTAGGCATGAAGTCAGCTCCTTTACAAACAATGCAGCATGCTCCTTTAAAGTTAGCTTTCTCTGTGGTATGTCAGTTATACATGAAAATAATCATCTCCTGTACTAATGTAGATTTTTTTTAAATACACAATCAGAAATATACATCCAACTTAATCATTACAGGGAAACATGATCAAAATAAGATAGTTAAACCATTAGATATTTGCAAACCCTCAGAAAACCAGGGATTAACTTTTAAATTTTCCAACATCAAAGACATGAGTGTACAAAAATAGGATTAAAATATTGAGGTCACTTCGCACCTCCGCTGGTTTAGAGATGGAAACTTATAAAGAACATTTGAAACATTTAAAGCGCAATCCTACAGAGCTCAGTTTTTCTTAGCATCAAAGATACATTCTTTGATTTCAGTTTTATTCATAAGAAGAAAAAAAAAAAAAAAGGCAGGCAGTATAATCACGTCAAAGCAATTTCTTCACTCCGCATGCTCAAGAGTACAGGCACCTGGTTACTAGATTGTGCGTTGGCGGCTTTCCCGTCACTAAAATAACTTCAGACATTCATTTGAACTTTCACATAATCTCATTAAAAATCACATTAAGGGGAAATAAAGTCGACACAAACAAGCAGACTAGCAGACAAACATGAAACGATTTGAGAAGCTCCGTAGGATTTTACCTGAAAACTACAAGAACAACAAATTACCTGTCAGCAGTTTTCTACACCATGATGATGACGTATTTACTCATGATGAACCCTGGATAACTACTACTACTCTACCGCCCAACATTGAACAACCAAGTTGTTCTCATGTCTATTAATATAGGAAAACGGAAATATAGTAAAGTTACAACATTAGAACAATTATAATCTCATCCGATTGGTGAGGAATTACGCTGAGATTTTTGTCACTTAAAATGATTTAGAGTTTCTTGCCTAAGTTTCATAAGACTTTGACTTTTTAACACTTTTGTTACGTTAAACCTTGGATGTGTTTTATTCTGACTTAACCTAACAGAGCGACACAAAGTATGGCTTGGTTCAAAAGTGAAAGACAAAGTAGTATCTGGAAAGTGCGGAACGCAAATATTTTCACACACAACAGAAATAAGTGAAACCAGGTCCAGAAAATTGTCTTCAAAAGGTCACCTTTTGCATAATTTCATCTCAGTGTGAATTACAGTTTATTAAAAGAAAGTTGATGCAAAATAAGTTTTCAGATTAAGATTTTTTAAACTGAAATTTCCCTTTTTTTTTTTAAATCGATCAATGTTCCCCATGTTGCTCCATCTCAAAAATTAAACCTGAAATACGTTAATTCACAAAATATGTAAAAAGTTAAAGTACTATGAATTTTTTTGAATTTGCAATGCGCAGTATAAGGCAGCATTATGGGAAGGGCCACTTGCTGATGTTTTTAATCCAGTTGAAAATTTGTTCAACAGAAACGCAAGCGAGAGCAGAGTGAGCAGCAGCTGACAAAAATGCATTATTATCTGTTTAGAAGAAAAAAAAAATACAGATGGATTTAAATGACATTTTAAGATGGGTGTCGCAATCTAACGGATTATTTAGTTCAGGACCAAGAAAGGACATTTGTTTGAGTCGGTAATTGAGTTGGATTGCCTCAGAATTCACAGTTAAAAAGTTAGACAAAAATAACCAGACATCATAAAATTAAAACAGAATAATCAGCTTATTGGTTGGTTTTATTGGAAGCTACATTAGGACAAACATTTAAAATGAGGTACGTGGAAAAAGAAGAATAATCTTGGAGTGGATTGAGTTCTAAGAGATTTTAAAGCTTCAAGTTTTTTTTTTCATTAAACACATTTACTTTCTTGTTTGATTACGTCAGACTTCAATGAAATCTTTCAACATATGCTGGTGTAATTGGACTGTTTCAGATGTAGCAGTGATCCAGTTCTGGTGGAGCATATACAAGTGAACTGAATACTAAAGGAGGAAAATATGCTGAAGAAACCAGGATTTCTGTTTATATTCTGTGCTAGTTAGATTCAAATTGTGCAATTCAGCTAGTAAAGCTGGAGGGTAAATGTATTCGTGTGTGCGCTTTCTATCGATATAGCGGTCTTATCAATGCATGAGTGATGTATCTTGAAGGAGGACTACAGATGAACTTGATCCAGACCTGGCTGCCATTTTTCTACTGGAGCTCCTTCATCCTGTTGAGAGCCGAGCCGGCCTTGAACCACTCGATCTGCGTCTCATTGAAGCTGTGGTTCAGAGAGATGGACTCCTCGCCTCCGTCGCTGTGCTTGATCACAGCTGTCAGCGGCTGGAGGAGGATCATGCATCAGTAAGAAATGTGGGCTGCTCTTAAGATGAATGAGTCACCGGGGCAACGCACTGCTCACCTTGCCAGGGGCGAAGGACTTGAGGCCGGTGATTGAAATCTTATCATCTGGACGGATTTTGTCGTAGTCGCTGGGGTTGGCGAAAGTCAGCGGCAGCAGGCCTTGCTTCTTCAGATTGGTCTCTGTAGAAAAGGTGCTGAGGTTAAAAATAATTACTTACTATAAACCAACCGATACTTTTAGGTTATAACCAAAGAAGAAGGCTATGCTTTATGGAGAAAAACAGGTGAGAAAACCAGGTTTCTGTAAAGCTTTAAAATGCTGCTCATTATCGCCTTTATGAAACACGGTGGTGGCAGCATCATGATGTGCATATACAGTGAGGCAAAGACAATATGGAGATCGATGGAGCCAAATATGGGGCAATAAGTCAAGTAAAACATGTTGGAGGAAACAAATAAATTAAATCTAATGTTGAAGCTAAAGATAAAACCAAAGCTTTAATGAAATGTTCTTTATCCTGGTGGTTTTTGCCTCCCTCTAGTGGTACGGGA